CATGGTGGCGTATTCATTTCAGGTTGCTGAAGAAGTGGATGCAGGAGAGCCACAGTCCTACAGAGAAGCAGTTTCGGGTGGTGAAGTTGATCAGTGGCTTGCCGCAATGGGAGATGAGATGGAATCCCATGACAGGAATCCGACTTGGGAGCTAGTCAAACGACCACAGGGAAGGAAGATTGTTACAAACAAGTGGATCTACAAGAAGAAGGAAGGAATCACTTCTAAAGAGGGCATGAAATTTAAAGTTCGGGTGGTTGCACGAGGCTTCTTGCAGAGGGAAGGAGTTGACTACAATGAGATTTTCTCACCAGTGGTCAGACATACTTCGATCAGAGTGCTACTAGCAATAGTGGCACATTATGACTTGGAGCTCGAGCAGCTAGACGTGAAGACAGCTTTCCTACATGGAGAGTTGGAGGAAGAAATTTACATGACTCAGCCAGAAGGATTCGAGGTTCCTGGAAAAGAAGACTATGTTTGTAAGCTGAAAAAGTCCTTGTATGGACTTAAGCAGTCTCCGAGGCAGTGGTACAAGAGGTTTGATAGTTATATGCTTGAGCTGGGCTATAGCAGAAGTCCATATGATTGTTGTGTGTATCACAACAAGGTGGAGGATGGTTCGATGATCTATCTTGTTCTGTATGTGGATGATATGCTCATAGCTGCGAGGTCAAAGTCTGATATCCAGAAGTTAAAGGGGCTTCTCAGTGCTGAGTTTGAGATGAAGGATTTGGGAGCTGTTCAGAAGATCTTGGGTATGGAGATTTACAGGGACAGGTCGAAGAAGAAGCTTTTCTTGTCACAGAAGAGCTACATCCAGAAGATACTGTCGAGGTTTGGCATGTCTTCAGCAAAGCCCTTAAATACTCCTAGTGCTTCAAATGTTCATCTATCCTCAGCTTATGCACCACAGTCGGAGGCTGAGAAGGAGTACATGTCGAGAGTCCCATATGCTAGTGCAGTAGGTAGCTTGATGTACGCTATGGTATGCACTAGACCTGATCTTGCACATGCTGTTAGTGTTGTCAGCAGGTTTATGATACAACCTGGGAAGGAGCATTGGCAGGCTGTGAAGAGGATCTTCCGGTACCTTAAGGGTACACCTGATGTGGGGATTAGCTTCGGAAGTGATACAGAGTGCTTGGTGTCTGGGTATTCTGACTCGGACTATGCTGGAGATGTTGACACGAGGAGATCGATGACTGGTTATGTATTCACTCTTGGGAGTTCTGTAGTGAGCTGGAAGGCCACTTTGCAGTCGGCGGTGACATTGTCTACTACTGAGGCAGAGTATATGGCGTTGACAGAAGCTGCTAAGGAAGGAATATGGTTGAAGGGACTGGTTGGTGATCTGGGTCTACATCATGATCAGGCAGTGGTGTATTGCGACAGTTTGAGTGCAATATGCTTGGCCAAGGATCAAGTCCACCATGAGAGGACTAAGCACATCGATGTGAGGTATCATTTCTTGAGGACAGAGAAGAGGATTAAGGTGAAGAAGGTTGGCACCGCGGATAATCCTGCTGATATGTTCACGAAGCCGGTTCCACATGGCAAGTTCCAACACTGCTTGGACTTGCTGAATGTCTTGAGTGGGTGACTCCGCGCTGCGGGGCATTGATGGCGGGAGAGAGATAAAAGGAGCAGAGTACATCAGAGATTTCAGAGGAAGAGGATTCAAGTCAAGGTGGAGATTTGTTGATATGACTTGAATCGGATTATCAGCCGCTACGACTGGTAATCGGGGGTCTCGCTGTTATTTGGGTATATGTTCTCAATGTTATTTGGGTTCGGGTTCTGGGCCTGGTCTGTAACCGTTTCCTTTGCCAGATTGGATTAGGTTTAGACCCACATGGAGAAGTACTATAAATACTTCTCATACTCCTCTGTAATCTGTAATCTCCTCGATATAGTGAAACTGGCTCTCTCTCACCCGTGGACGTAGCTAACACACATCGTGTTAGTGAACCACGTAAATCGTGTGTCTGTGTTTTCGATTCTCGATTTCGTATTCTTGCTTTGTCGATTCCGGCTATTTCCCGATCCGTAGCAGCGCATTTTTAACAGATTGGAGATTAGGGTTGCGGAGCTTCGTTGTGGAGGAGAAAAGGGACGAGATTGAGAAACTGTTGACTAAGAATGAAAAGCGGTGGCGGTGGTGTCCGGAGCTGAATAAGGTCGTCGATCCTTGGAAGTCGACCATCCAGATCTCGCCGCTGGGGAATTTTGCCTTAGAGCTAAGGAGGGGGCCACGGTAGGCAACAGGGATAACTTCTGCGAGAAGTACAAAGCGGTGAGTGGGCGTCAGGGGACTGACGGTCGTTCCTATTCTTCTCTCCTCGTCTTGCTCGATCTGACCTCCCCTCACCTCTCGTCGGCGAAAATTCCAGATCTAGAAATTGAAGAACTCTAATCTCTATTGAAATTCCTCCTTGAAAAATTCCAGATCCATAAAATGAATAACCCTAATCGTTGTCGCCACCGACACCATTTTCACCATCAAATCCTCATTGATTTTTTTTTTAGTAAAATTATTTTTTTTTGTTAATTTTTTTAATATGACCTGGCATAAAGACGTCTAGTTGGCGACGACGTGTCGTTCAGGTGGCATCCACCTTAGTGACACGTAGAGGTTATTGACGGTGTTAGTGACGAGGTTAAAGTTTGTAACGGAAATGGCTAAAGTTGTCAAGCAAGTTTGAAAAAGTGGCTATAAGAGTGTATTTTTCAAAAAGTGGCTATATTTGTCATAACGCGAATAGTTATGGCTATGAAAGTGTATTTTGCCTACTCTTTACTAACAAGTGGGTCATTTGGGGATATATATAATAGCTCTTGTACTTGGTTAAGGAATGTCGTGATATATTGAATCATGTATTCTCCTCAATTCCTTCTCACATCAAACCCTTTTTTCTTGTAATTTTGTGTACTAAAATCTATTACACATCATATACACATGGAATATAGTTTGAGAATCCATAGTGTCCATCATACTCCTCTCGAATTTTTCACGGGTAATTAGCATAAATGGTCACAAACCTTTGCACTTAGTACAAAATAGTCACAACCTTTTAATTTGTAACTATTTGATAACAAAACTTTTTACTTAGAACAAAACGGTCACAAATTAAACAGTGTGACCATTTCATACCAGTTCAAACTTTTGTTACCATGTCGTTGCAAATTAGACTTTTGGTGACCGTTTTGTACAAATTAAGTTCAAAAGTTTGAACGATCAATCACCGTTACAATTCACTCTAGTTGTATGGTGGTTTTGTTAATGTATGTGAATGATATGATCGTCATAAAGGATGACAATGAAAGAATTCAATGGCTCACAAACGGGTTCCAGACTGCTTTTTAGTTGAAAAAACTCTGTCTACTTTCTTACTTTCTTGGTATCGAAATTCAAAGGTCAACTGACGGCATTCTTATTCGGCAAAGTAAATATGTCGATGAACACATGACCTTATATGTCGTTCAAGTGGTTAGTGTCATATACTTAACGAACAAACTACCCGACCTCAACATGACAAACATTTAATTTGTAACAATTCGGTAACAAACCTTTGCACTTAAAACAAAACGGTCACAAATTAAATAGCGGTGACCATTTTATACAATTTCAAAGTTTTGTTACCGTATTGTTACAAATTAAAGGTTTGTGACCGTTTTATACTAAGTGCAAAGGTTTGTTACCATTTATGCTAATTACCCAATTTTTCACTCTTAATCTCACATATCCTCTTTCGAAGACATATTATCTGCCATCATCGTCCAAAACTTATAGGGTGTATAGTAAAACGAGTCTCTTTTACTTGTAGATGAACCAATATACGCTATATTAGTAAACCACATAAATTTATGTGTTGTTTACTTTGTCAATCTTAATCCGAAATATTTTGAAATTGAGATCGAGATACCGAATTTATTTTCGAATTGAAATTGATCAAATAAGATATAATTCAGTATTTGATATCGAGATACCAATACTGTATCGATTTCCTACGGCCTACTCTCGCCCGTCAAGCTTCCACGACCCATCACTCTGCTGCACCATCCCCTTATGCCTCGCACACCACCAGTTCCCCGGCACCAAGTACTCCTCCTTCAACGCATCCGTCCTCTTGTTCACCAGCGCCAGGTCCCGCCGGACTTCCAGCCGGAACGACCCACCTTCGTCGTCTCCACCTTGCACCCCGGCAACTCCGTGCAGATACACCTCCAAGTTGTGCCACGTCACGAACCCTCCTTCCGTCAGCTTCAGGTACTTGGACTTCAGGGTGTCCATCGCCAGCTCCACTCCCACATCGGCGTATCCGGCCAGCAGCGGGTAGATCGGGATTATGTCCGGCGCGTTCCTGATTCTCAAGAGGTGCAGATTCTCCAGCGAATTGAACATGTCGCGGAAGTTGGCGTCTCCGACTCTAGGGCTGCCGTAGACGAACGCGGTGACCGGACTGCTCTTGTTGTGGCCGTTTGCTACAATGTCTGCTGCGCTCAGAGCGGATAATGCTCCGCCAAGGCTGTGCCCTGTTATTGTGATGCTGATCTCTTCGTTCTTGTACTTCTCGACTAGTCTCTTCACTTCGGTGATAACCTGGCCGAACCATGCATAACCAAAAGATTATATCAATTTGGAAGAAGGTTTTTGTGGCATCGGAAGAGTTACAACACATATTTATGTATATAGGGATAATGGTGTTTATTCACGCAAATAGTAATCATTATTCCAGCGCGACATGGTGTTCATTCACGTATATTATTATTCGGGGTGGGTGTAGTGCTGGGAGGTCGTCTGACACATGACCACCGAATTTTAGGGGGCCTACACTTAGGTTCATTAGTTAATTTGATAACATGTTGTAGGTTGTATTTGTGATGTATTGTATATGATTAATTGAGGTATATATTGAAAGAAACACACAAACTCAACGATTTACGTGGTATCCTCGTTCGATAGAACGAGACTAATCCACGGAAGACTCGCAAAGGAGTCTTCGGCTGAACTTTTATTAGGCTTTTTCCCTTTACACCAAAAAAACATAACCCTAGCCAAGCGGCTATAAGAGCTTATATAGTTGGTCTCGTGCAATTCCTTTCAACGAGCAACTGGGAATGCAAACTACCAAAACACTCTCAAATAAAATAAACTTAACAAGTGAAGACCAACTATCATGCTACGTACGTGCTCCCTCATGCCGCACGTAGTCCTACAACACGCCCCCTCAAGCTGAGGCGTGAATATCGTGAACGCCCAGCTTGGAGGTCAGAAAAGCAAATTGCTCCCCGCCGAGACCTTTCGTGAACATATCAGCTACCTGATTCTGAGAAGAAATCTTCCGAGGAGCGATCTCACCGGAAGTAACACGCTCACGAACGAAGTGACAGTCCATCTCGACATGCTTCGTCCGTTCATGGAAGACGGGGTTGGCGGCAATGTGTAGGGCCGCCTGGTTGTCACAGTAGAGCGGAGTTGATGAAGAGCACGAGATACCCAGCTCACTGAGCAACCACCGGAGCCAGACAAGCTCACTGACCGTGCTTGCCATGGCTCGGTACTCAGCTTCAGCCGATGAACGAGCAACAACTGACTGCTTCTTGGTTCGCCAAGAAATAGGACTGTCGCCCAACCGAATAAAGTAGCCAGTAGTGGAGCGACGGGTGTGCTGGCAACCACCCCAATCCGCGTCGCAATAAGCAGTCAGACTGAGAGTTCCACCGGTGGGGAAGAGTAGCCCTCGACCGGGAGCGCCCTTAAGATACCGAAGAACGCGTTGAGCAGCGTCTTCATGCTCTTGACGCGGTGAGTGAACAGCCTGACTCAGGATGTTAACAGCATAGACAATGTCGGGACGCGTTACCGTTAAATACTGCAGTCTCCCAACGAGCCGTCGAAAACCAGACGGGTCCTTGGCGGCGGGGCCTTCAATCCTGGTGAGATGATGGTTTTGCTCGATAGGAAATGAGCAAGGTTTCACAGCCAGAGCACCGGCATCCTTCAAGATGTCTAAAGTATACTTCCTCTGCGACAATACCATGCCTGTACGGGAGCGAGCTACCTCAATCCCCAAAAAATACTTCAGAACGCCCAAGTCCTTGATGCTGAACTGGTCATGAAGGAAACCCTTAACACGCTGAATGGTGGGTAAATCATCACCACCAAGAATTAAGTCATCCACATAGATCAAGGCGAAAGTGAATACTCCATGCTGGCGATATGTGAAAAGGGAATGGTCAGCTTTTGACTGCTGAAACCCAAACTCCTGAAGCGACGTCGCAAACTTCATATACCAATTCCGCGAAGCTTGCTTCAGGCCATAAAGAGATTTGCGAAGACGACATACCCGATTGTCCCCCGGACGAGAAAACCCCGGGGGAAGCTTCATATACACCTCTTCATGCAAGTCACCATGCAAGAAGGCATTGTTAACATCCATCTGATGAAGATGCCAACCACGGTGAGCAGCAACGGCGAGAACACAACGAACAGTGACCAATTTAGCGACTGGAGCGAAGGTGTCGTGATAGTCAACTCCTTCGATCTGAGTGAATCCTTTCGCAACGAGCCGAGCCTTATATCGCTCAACGGTGCCATCAGGATGAAATTTAATTTTATAGACCCACTTGGAGGCAATGGCTTTCTTGCCAGGAGGGAGTTCCTGCAAGTCCCAAGTGCCATTGGCTTCCAAAGCATCAATCTCCCGTTGCATGGCTTCACGCCAACAAGCATACCGAACCGCATCATGAAAAAACTGAGGTTCAACGAGGGTGTCCACCGCTGCCACAAAAACACGATGCTTAGGTGATAAACGTGTAAAAGTGACGTAGGCAGATAAAGGATACTTAGCAGTAGTAACCGTATGAGAAGAGGGAAGGTAGGTGTCATAACCTTGTAACTGGACTGAAGGACGTGTCACACGAGTGCTGCGCCGCGGAGGAGGAGCAGGCGATGGTGAAGGGGACTTCGAGTTGCTGGTGTTAGGTGGAGAGGCGGCATGAGGTGGATTTGCATGAGGTGGAGAATTTGCAGGAGGTGGAGAATTTGCATGGTCATGGGGCGCTAAGGAGGAACCCATGCAAGGGCTGGTGGACGTGCATGGGGAGGCGCCCGTAGTGTCCTCATGAGTGCTTTCTTCAACGATAGGAGTGGGGGAAGTGTCGCCGTTGGAAACGGGAAGAACGACTGCCTCGTCATCACTAGGAACAGGAGGCGACGGATCCAGGCGGGTCATGGGAACAATAGCTGGCTGGATGTCGCTGGTGAGAGTGTGAAATGGGAAAACAGCTTCATCGAAGATCACATCCCGGGAAACAATCAACTTCTGGGAAGACAACTCGAGCAGGCGGTACCCCTTTTGTGAGGATGGATACCCGAGAAAGACACACGCCCGACCCCGCTCCCCAAACTTATCTAAGTGGGAGTGGGTATCCTTCGAGTAGGCCAAGCACCCGAAAGCCCGAAGGTGATCGTAAGAAGGACGATGATTAAACAGGCGTTCGTACGGCGTCTGATTACCAAGAGCACGATGGGGAAGCCGGTTGATCAAGTACCCGGCCGTGAGAACACATTCGCCCCAAAATCTTTTGGGCAAATTAGCATGGAAACGGAGAGCCCGAGCTGTATCTAAAATGTGTCGATGTTTGCGTTCGACAACACCATTCTGCTGAGGGGTGTCGGTGCAAGAAGTTTGAAGGTGAATACCTTCGGCAGCATAGAAATCAAGCAATTCATGGGACTGAAACTCAGTACCATTGTCGGTCTGGATTACTCTTACCGCGGCACTAAACTGACGAGAAGCTAGACGAACAAAAAGTTGCAAATACTTAGCTTTCTCAGACTTGAACTTAAGTAAGTAAATCCACACACCGCGAGTAAAATCATCAACCACGGTAAGAAAATATTGAGCACCACTTAAAGACGGGACCTTGTAACCGCCCCAAATGTCAATGTGAATAATATCAAACGGTCTGGAGCTGCGAATTGAACTAGAGGGAAAAACCAAACGAGGCTGCTTTGCTCGCAAACATGATGAGCAAAGCTGTTTATCCGACTTACGAGTGCTAGGAACTAAATGCAACAAATCAAGTTTCTCGGGTGACGGGTGTCCCAAACGCGAATGCCACAAATCAGCAGAAATGGTGCTCCGGACAGCACATGCCATCTCTTCTCGAACAACAGAAAATAGACGAAGATAATATAGACCATCACTCTGCATCCCCGTCCCAATAATCGTCTTCGAGCGTAAGTCCTGTATTACACAGAAGTCGCGCAAGAAAATCAACGCCAAGGAAAAATCTCGAGTGAGCTGACTAACAGAGAGTAGGTTGCATTTAAATTCCGGGACAAGTAGCACTCGTGGCAATATCATGCCATTTGATAAATGCACTGAACCAATCCCATGAACACCAACTATTGAGCCATCCGGAACCCGAACCTGTAAATCTAACTCCCCCCGTGACCCAGTAATCATCTTCGAATCATTGACAATATGCTCATTGCAGCCCGTATCGATCAACCAAACATCATTACTGTCAGGAAAGGAGAGAGAGGTACCTGTCATCTTATCCGGGATAGCCTTTAACTCACCCCCGAAGAGGGTTTTGAGCTGCTCGAACTGGGAAGCATTTAACCCAGGAATGGGACTTTCGCTCACCTCCACTTGAGCTGCGCGTGGCCCTGCCCGAGCACGTTCGCTGGGCTTACGTCGGTGGTCCTGCTCCTTCTCTTTGTCGCCTTTGTTGGGCCGACGCTCTGGCCATCCGATCAGCTCGTAGCACCTGTCGCGAGTGTGGCCAGTTTTGCCACAATGGTCGCACAGATAACGCGGCCGAGAAGAATCGTCTGACCGACCAGAAGAGTTCCGCGGGGGTGTGCGCCCATCTTGGACATGGAATGCAGCAGCTTCAACGTGAGGACGTCTGTTTGTGGCGATTTTCCGCTGTTGTTCGTCATTATTAACCAGGTGATAAGCATCCGCTAGACTAGGCATGGGGCGCATGGCTAAGATTTGCGTTTTGACCGTAGAAAAGGCCTCGTCCAGCCCCATTAAAAAATCAAACAACTGCTCGCTGGTTTTAGTCTCCCGATACTTGCGCTTAACGTCGCAAGTACAGCCGCCGCAACTGCATTCGGGAGCTGGGGAGATGGACTGGATTTCATCCCAGAACCCTCGAAGCTTGGTATAAAAACTTGAGACAGTTGACTTCTCCTGCTGCAGCAAAGCAATAGAGCGCCGCAACTCGTACAACCTCGGCGCACTCCCCCGACCGAATCGTGACTCGAGATCCAGCCATATCTCGCGAGACGTACGGGCAAAACGAACACTCGATCGGATCTCCTTGCTCATGGCGGTCTTTAACCAACCCTTGACCATGGCGTCACACCGCTTCCATTGTTCCAGAAGCACGCCATCCGTGGGTTTGGAAAGAGAGCCGTCAACGAAACCCATTTTATTTTTAGCAATGAACGAATCAGTAATGTCACCAATCCACTCACCATAGTTTGAATCGGTGAGGAGTTCTCCAACGAACAGCTGGTTGGGACTATCGGAGTGAGGAAGAACGAACGCCGGAGGAAACCCATCTCCACTACCGCTCGGAACACTCTTTGTTGTCGTCGCGGTTGACTTCGTCGTCTCATCATCGGAGGCCATGATTTCGTCACAGCTCTGATACCATGAAAGAAACACACAAACGCAACGATTTACGTGGTATCCTCGTTCGATAGAACGAGACTAATCCACGGAAGACTCGCAAAGGAGTCTTCGGCTGAACTTTTATTAGGGTTTTTCCCTTTACACCAAAAAAACATAACCCTAGCCAAGCAGCTATAAGAGCTTATATAGTTGGTCTCGTGCAATTCCTTTCAACGAGCAACTGGGAATGCAAACTACCAAAACACTCTCAAATAAAATAAACTTAACAAGTGAAGACCAACTATCATGCTACGTACGTGCTCCCTCATGCCGCACGTAGTCCTACAACATATATCTACACAAGGCACGTATTAAATTTGTGTTTGGGAGCCGAAACAACTATTCGTTTAAAAAAATATAACATAAGAAAGTCTTAATGGATTAGTTATGTCGGCTACGACTGAAAATGATCTCGTGGAGAATGCGAAAATTACAGAGCAGATAGATCATTTTATTTTAAACGATGCCATCAAGAAATTTGCATCTTAAATAACAAGACTACGTTCATTTTATTATATATAAAATTCAATTTGAACAATATTTCAATTTTGGAATAGGACTTCACGATTCATTGCATGGCCATGCTGTACGTTGCTTATCCACACCGCTTGTAAAATTAATCATTGAATTTCGAATTATATCAAAATGGATATCTTTTCGTAGATTATGATCAATACAACTTATTTTACCGAAAAATCGAAAATCCAAACTAAATTCGAAAAATAATCGACAAAAATTCGGAATTTTCATTCATAATTCTCACATAAATACACACCGAATTACGTGCATCACTAAATAACGTGAATGAACACAGAAATGCACTAATTAGGGGTAGAAAATGTACTAAGTAGCACGCTTCATGTTCAATGTCAATGGAGCAGGGGGAAAGAAAATGGTACTTTTTTGAACCTTTTTACCTGATTTCTGGCGCTGGTTTTATTAAAAGGCGACTTGGGATCATCAGACGTGTAGATCGAGTGCCACCCTCTATGAACCCTAGCTCCACATTCTTCCCCAAATACATCCGCCGCCGAAACCAGAGGGAAATCGAAATCCTCAACCCACTCAAGCCCCTGCACCGTGCCTCTCCACGCAACAAGAATGTCCCTCCGCCCCAACGCCGCCTTCCCCTCATCCGTCGCGACGGCGACGAACCCCATCCAGTTGGATTCCCTGTCCCAGGCCTCCCTCGACAGTGACTTGAGAAGGAAGCAACCGGGGATCGGAATTCGTGACGTGGCGTACAAGTACTTCACCGGCCGGTAATTGGAGGCGGCGGCGGGGAGGCCGACCTTGGCGAAGAGATTGTCCATGGAGTAGCGGCAGTCCCCTGCGTAGGGCGACTTGGGCTCGGAGTTGAAGGCGTCGAAGGTGGCCTGAGCCATCTCGCCGTAGTGGATGAGGTAGCGGCGGAGGTCGGCGTCGAGAGGGTCGAGAAGGTTGGACCAGTTGTTGGTTTCCCCGCTTAGCTCCTTCCATCTTTTGGCTATGGAATTGGAGCCTCCTTCCATGTTTTTTTGGTTGTGTGTTGCAGGGTTGTGTATAAGTTTGATGCTTATTAATGGAGATGATGGTGAGGAGAAATTTTACAATGCTATATAGTATTGGTGCTATAGGATTTTGCATTTATGGTACAACTTAAAATTGTACATTTAGGTTATGGTACAGCTTAAAATTGTACATATACTTTTTGTACAAATTCTTTTACGGTACAACTTGAACTTGTACCTTTATGTGATGGTACAACTTCAAGTTGTACCATAACATAACGGTACAAATTGCTTTATGGTACAACCTAAACTTGTACATTTAATGTTATGGTACAACTTTAAGTTGTACATTAAAGCACCAATACTATATAGTATAGTAGAAGTGCTCGATGGTGAGTTGATTGATTGTTGTTGGGTTGCTCTGTTTTTTAGGCTGGAGGCAGAGTAAAGATGGGTTGTTGTTCGGTTAGGCGGCAGAGTGAAATTGTGTGTGTTTTTGGTTTTAATCTTTGGCCAAAGAATGGGGGAAATTTAAAGATGGGTTGTTGTTCGTTTATCTTACCTTTTAACTCGTGATTAGTACGATAATTAATGATTCATTTGCTTTATTAATTAAATGGTCGTTTGGATGAGGCGATTTGCAGATGGCAACTTGATTTGCAAGAGCAGTTCATTCACAATAACTTGTGAAGAATGGTTCTGTGATTTGTAAGAGTGGGAAAATGACGAACAGATTGGTCGCTTTCTTGTCTCTCTTTGGTTCATCTGGGATAAGAGAAATTGTCAACTGTGGAATAAGAAGAAAATGGAGGAATGAGAGATTACGGGCCGGACAAATCATTGGCTGGATGAGTACTTGGATCTGCAGAAAGCAAGAATCGTAACGCGCCGCTCGGAGGTCAAGCATGGTGGTCACCATCGATTAGGTGTGATTTCACGAAAAATGTCGATGTTTTTTTTTACAAATAAAAAAATGTGAATGTTGATGTTGTTAATAATGCACCATTTCATTTACAAAATCATAATAATAATCATAATAATAATATGCACTATTTCATTTGAATATCACGAGCCATAGTTGTTAAGGCGGAATCCAATGGGCACCCCATTTATGGGGGAATCTGCAAAAATGAAGGAGGAGATGATCCAATGGGGAGGTTTGGGCCTACAAAAATGGAGGATCCTGCAAATGGAACCCCAAATTTGGGGATGGAAATGGGGGATCCCCAAATATAGAGACTCACCAAAGCCCGCCACGTGGCTTTTCTTTTTCTTTTTAAGATTTTGGAGGTTAATTGAGAGTTTAATTAGAGGATTAGTTATGGATTTAATTAGATCAATCATTTTCAAGTGTTGTGTATAAACACAAATTAGGTACATAATTTTTTGCCAAAAAATTTCGGACTCGAAATTTAACAAAATTTTATCGAAAAATTTGTATTTAAAAATGATGACGAACTATACAAAAATTAACATGAATAAATTATATTAAGGCTACGATAAGTACATTTTTAAGTAAATGGAAAAACTAGAAAAATGAAAATCCCCAAATATGGAGACTGAAGCATTGGAGCAAAAGAAGAGAAAATGGGGATCAATCCCCAAATTTGAAGATGAAGGCCCCAAATTTGGGGTTTTGCATTGGACTTGGCCTAATAATCGTAACACAATCATAAGAGTTGAACCATTATTTATAACAGTGAATGTTATTAACACTAATTGGGCCATGGTATTAACGTTTATTTGCCCAATCAGCCACCCTTGTATCTATCGACATGTTTTTAACAGTCTTGGCAATGTTTGGAAGAAAAATTGGTTGGATTATTAATAATTAATTTTGTAAGTAATTACATATGGTAAACTGCTATTTGATTTTACTAACGAAATACCATTACTACCCCTAACTACCTAAAAACGCTAACTACCTTTTTTTTTACTTGAACTACCCATTAACTAGTGAAGACTGATATAATGGCTGAAATTAACTTCAGGAGGTTATTGAGGCTAAAGGATGTGAACCCACAACCGGTTATTTGGATGATGCGATTTGACAACCAAATATAGGAATGAAAACAAATTGTATGGGTGTATAAGACTCTGGCTTTGGAGAATCATATTGAGGACATGATTCCACTAGGGTTGTTGATGGTGGGAACTTCGTTGTGCTGTTCTTGTTTGTTAGCGGTTGTCCACCAGTGGTGGTTATCGTTGGCAACAGGTTCGCGCAACAGAGAGGTCTGACTTTCGGTGTGTGGAGTAGTCATTCGGTCCTAGGATCAATCCTGGGATCGTTGATTGTGGAGGCCATAATCGCCACCAGGAAAGTTCACCAAATGCTCCATACATCAGAGATCACTAACATGGTGAAGGTTGTTGTTGTGATGGCAGGTGCTTCTATCTGATCAACCAAGCAACCGAGATGCATCCCACCATAGATTCCTCCCACGTCAATCAAGATGGTAAGGTTACCTGCGAAACTTGTAGACATAAACTTCCCACCTATGGCTGCAAATTCTCAAGTCTGATCAGCCAATGAGATATTGAAGCCAAACATAAAGACAATGAAGCATCTTGCCATTTACAACTCTATTCCTACAGTTCCATACAACCTTATTCCAAACCAAAATAAGGCATGAAAGTAATCTAATTTACAGCTCCCTATAACCACTTCCTCCATCTCCTTACAACATATTATCCAAAGTTCCATATAGCACTATTCCTACAGTTCTCTATCTAAGAAACAAGAAAAAGCCACAATTTAGAAGGAAATCAAATCAAACTAAAGGCGAAAATATGGGTTTCCTTACCTGTGCAGGTTTTGTAGAATGGAAACCAATAGATTAGTGATGATCCCACCATCCTCGAGAAGAAAATGCTAGTTGCATATGGCTTCACGCCAAGAAGGCCCAATGAATAAAGAAACCCGAGTGGAATCATGTCCTCAACATGATCCTCCAAGGCCAGAGTCTCATCACCCACTTAGTATCATCAATCATCAAACAATCACAAAACTCCATCTCCAGCCGTGGGTAATTAGGGCCGCCACCATCAACGAACCCAAGCCTGAATGATTATTCCATAGGCCGCAGGACGGATCTCTCTGTTGGCAACAAAGTCCTTGCTTTTACATTGAAGAAAGAAAAGACCAAGAGTTACTATGAACAAAAGGCACATTTGCTTCTTTTTTAGAATGGTGACATCATAATATTAAATATTAATATTAATATTAAAGATACATAAACAAAAGAAAGAAAATGAAATGCCTGACAAATGTCGGCCGCACAAACACATGCCACCAACAAGTTCCGTATGAGTCTGTCTTGAGGTGCCAAGGAAAAAAAGCACCGTGCAAAGCTCACTTCCTATTAATATTAATCTTTAATATTAATATTAAAGATTAACTGCCTCTCTAAACTCACAACTTCAAGGTCAAAGGGCGAGCCCCCAAAAGTGACTCAGTAGTAGCAAAAATAAAAACACATTTACTTCATTTTTACTACATTTATATGAGCAAGTTGTATAACATAGGAATTTGCTTAAGCTCCGACAGAGAATATTAGTTTATGTCACCAAAAAATTTATACAAAATAAATATAGTTTTAATTTGGAATACAATACCACCCTTATATAATTATGAAAATAATTTTTTGACACACTAACTCCAGTACACCACCTCATGGTTATCCAATCCACAAGCTTCTATCAAATGGGTAATGCTCAGAACTTCTATTTATTTGATCTCTTCCCAAACATCTTAATTCCCCTCCTAAGAGTAGCTACTAACCTCCTGTGACTCGGATATCTGTAAGTACTTTTATATACAACTCAATGGTACTTTACCAATAATATAATTGGCATATGCCAAGTGAGTATTAGGAAACCATCACACACATAGGGTTCCAAGCATCTTTCAATAACAGGAGACATGGAATCATATTAGACTTACCAACTGCTATAATTGGTTATGGAAGAGGTCACGCCTGCAGGGTCTTCCAGCAGCTGTTCTCGGGTCGTCATAGGAAGATGTGCGCTTGGAGGTTGATGACACTCTGCTTTGGAGAATCATGTTGAGGACATGATTCCAATCACGCTTCTTGATGCATGGGGCCTTCATGGCGTGAAGCCTTATTCCGTTTGCATTTTCTTCTCGAGGATAGTGGAATCATCGCTCATCTACAATTTGTCATTCTACCTGACCCACACAGGTACATCGAGTATATATTTTAGCTAACCCAAAGTTTGATCAGCTCTTAATGACGTTCTATTTGGAGGCTTTCGGAACCTGAACGTCAATTTCTACTACTAGATTTGGGTCCGTCCGTTGGCAGGATGAATTTCTTCATTCGTATATATAAAAATTATAATTGTCTGAAGCAAAACATGTTTTAATTGATATCATTAAAATTTTCAAATTGTTTAGTTACTAGAAATATGAAAAAATATCATACTCATAGAATTTTCATACATGCTAACTGATTGATTGGCGAAAGTACTTAGTATAAAAACAAAATTTATGCAAGAGAATCGACTCCTAAAAACTTAATTAGATCATAGTATTTGCATCTCGCTATAAAAAATTATTGTAAATTTCATTTTGAATTTCTTAGTGATGGCTCGCATTATCATTTGTGCCAATAACATCACTTTTGTATATGCTAATGAAATCTTTATTTTTACTATAGGCTCTTTCTTATTTCTGCATTTCATTGGAAGCCAATTTTTTATGGTAAAATTTTGGAAATATGAAACATTATTTCTACGTAGTAGAATTTACGTTGTTTGAGATATGATAATTTTCTGAGATTCTCTTTCTTGTTAACATTTATAAGAAACCCAACGACCAACACATAATTTGATAGCCTATAGGCTAAAACTTAATGAATTACCTGTATTAGTGTTGACAATTTTCCGGTAGATACATTTTTTCTTATATAAAGAACACATTTTCTTCTTGGTTGACAATTCTAAATTCTAACTTATGTGAATTGATCTATGAAATATAAGATGCAAGAAATAATGTTTGAGGTCACATAGTACATCGATAGCAAACTTCAGCACCTCACTTCTTCCCGATCGAATCTAAATTCCATTGAAAGAGCAAATTGTTCGATCTAGTTCTTTCCCGTGATTCCATAGATATATTGGAATGCATGATCAAAATTAATCTTACAAATTGGAAACTAGAGGATATATAAGTCTGGGAAATCTTAGGATCGTTGGGACTACATTTGGATCTATCAAGAAATATTTGGTCTTTGGGGGAGCTTGTAGTTTAGTTTCAAGTTTGCAGCTTTCAAATGTGAACCACAACAATTTGTGTAATGAAGCTTCTGACAAAATTTTCTACGAAAAATACTTGTATTTGTAGATTTTATCTATGTGCTAGTTTGTGAAAACGGCTTAGGAAAGTTTAGTGATTGATGATGGGTACACCTGGATTTTGAGTGCATAGAATACGTTATGGTAACTTTTAAATGATTACGGAATCATTTGAAAATCTTAATAAATAGTTTGTACATGTTAGTTGTTAAAAAAGGATGCTTACAAATTTTGAAACGGTGCTAACAAATAACAAATTATTTGTAAGGATTATGGTGCATCATATATGTGTTCATATAAACATACATTCTAATATATAAGATACATTATGGGTTCTACATAAATAAAAATAAAACTCTACTACTCTAATTATTAATCTCCACTTATCAAATCATTAAATTATAAAAGTTTCTTCATCACTAAATCATAAAAGTTTCTTATTCGTTCTATAAAAAATTTAAATATGAAAACATGTTAGTGTTATTTTGAAATATATTTCGACGCCAGGGGTACGTTTACATTATTGTACGCTTGTCGAGTTTTGTTATATAGATCATGAATTAACCAATTTTTGTAGCATGATACTTTACCCTAATCTCTAATGGGTGAACCCTAGTCCCAACTTCTCTAACCCAAACCATAAATTTCATTTAATTTAAAAAAAATAATCAACAAATTTGATTCGTCGAAATATATCATATTACAAATAATAAATATAAATGTGGGCGTATAGTTAGGCACCTTTATATATACACCATGCATAAATATAACATACCATAAAGCCGCTAGTAATAATAATAGATATAAACATAATATTCTTCTATATATAAAAGCAAGGTTTTTGGGCAAAGAATCGTTGACAGGCTGACACCTGTTCAAAGAACCGGAAATGCCCCTACTATTTTCCCATGCATTACAAGCTTGTAAAAATAAAACAGTGTTAGATATAAACATAATATTCTTCTACTAGGTTAATGCCAGGCCTATTGGACGGGAATATAGTTTGACCCTTTAGTATAATTAAGGTCTAAGTGTTTTACAAATTGATTTTGGGCGCAAGAATATCAGGCCCGGGTGTTTAGTGATGCCTAAACGTTGGCGAGAAAATCAAATTGGAGATACAAATTTATTGGATTCTCGGTCGAGGTTACGGTACATAACTATGGGTTATGCATTTTTTCATAAGCAGATCTCCATTTTGAGTGGGTTATATCTAAGTGATGTGATTAATTCTGTTCCAAATTTTCTACTTTTTGATCGGCTTGTGTATTCTTTATATTAACCTGAATTAAAAAAAAGTGCACATATGGAATGTGTTCATTGTCATTTACAAAATTATATAATTTTTTTTTATATATTTAGAGGAAAAAGATTGACCACTGGTTACCACCCTGGTACCAACTAGTTTACTGATCGAATCCACTACTAGAATTCTTTTTTTTTTTTTTGGTTTCTATCTAGTTTTTACCCTTTGTTTCCTTCATTTGATTATTTATGTCTTTTTCATGCTCTGCTTGGTTGAAGTAAAGAAATAGATCATAGAATTCGTATTCGATTGGAGTGTAGGCATAAGAGTATTACATTAAAGCCTTCAAGAGAAACCAAGTAACCAACAATTGTTAGCGGTGCATATTGAAATAGTATACCAAGATGGGGTACAATATCCTAATGATTAATACTTGGACCATACGCTTGAACATTGCCTCGTCTTGATAGAATTCATTCCGTAAATTACATTGTCAAAATAAAGGATCGTTAGAGATTTCTGATTGTTTTCGTTTGATTGTTACAATATAATATATTGTGTATAATTTTTTTATTTTTCAATACAAAATTCATGAATTGTTTACTTCATATCACACTGATTGATTGATTGCTTAAACAATTTTTTCTTTTAATAGAAGATGTTGAGAAGTTGAGTTGAGATTGTTGAACTCAGTTTTATTAACATCTTACAAAAGACAATTATACAAACCGCTGTATTCACAATACACAAAATCTATCAATGCATGTACAAATATTATACATGTATTCTTTCCCTTTTCATGCTCATTGAATGAGGGGAGCATCAACTCATACTAATTGTTTGAGATTCCTTGAATTAGTGGAGGTTGGTCGTGAGTTGGTAGAAGTAGGCTATATAATTTTAGTTTTTTATTTGTGCATAGTTAAATCAGAATCCTTGATTTAGAGCGAGGCATGATCTAAGGGTGCAAACTTTAAATTTTCTTGCTTTTTTTAATCGGCTTGTATTTTCTTTATATTACATCGGGTTTATTTTTTTTACAGATAGAATAAGTCTATTATAATCAAGAAAATTATGTTCATTTACAAAATCACTTTATACCACTTTTGTCTATAGCTCAAATTTTGCAAAAATTCCCACAGAATGAACGGGTTCATGGTGATTTATTATAATATAATCTTATATGCCCCTCTACTATTTTTTACATCAAATATGCCTATGTACTTTGAAAAAATTATCAAACATGCCCTTCTGTTAAAATTTCCATTGAAAAAATCGTCTATCATGGTTGAATTGAGGGGCATGTTTTTGGTCATTTGTGTCGCCCAAACTAAAGTTCGGTCTTGGTTAACGGTTTTTGGATGAAAATTTTAACAAAAGGGCATGTTTGGTCATTTTTACAAAGTACAAGAGCATGTTTGATGTAAAAAATAATAGAGGGGCATGTTTGATAAAACGTCATAGTAGAGGGGCATATTATACCTATAACCCTTTAATTTTAAGCCACCAAAGAGACAAAAAAAATCCTCTTAAGGAGAATTGTAACATGGGGACAATGGGGTGGGTTGTTAAGGAGAATTGTAACATGAGGTGAGAGAGTCTCCAACTCTCGACCTCAGGATCACTCTTTGGCTATGAGACCTATGCGCTAACGAACTGCGCCAACACCCCTTTACGTTGAAAAAGTCGCAGTTGGAATGTACTATACTGTTCTTGCTTTTCTTTATGAGGGCCAAACTACCATAGTTGGAAACATCCCATAACGTTGTACAGAAAAGATCTAGCTATCAATTTGTAACATAAGGTTAAGATACATATTGAGTTTAATAATAAAAAAAAAGATGTATATTGAGTTTGTTTCGTAAAAAGATTTGTACCAAGAGATATGTACAAGCTCTATTTATGATGTATCGTTGAAGGTACAAGTTTAGTTTATACCATATAGATTAAAAAAAATAAAAGCGTTGATCCTACCAAACTTTGCAAAATTCCTTTTCATATGAAACTCTAAATCGATGGACTGCATACTCTTCTCCTGCCATTGGGATCCTTTCTGTCCAGACGACATTGGCAGACTTCCGATTTTATTAGATGGATCTGAGTCCAATCGTTCCATCAATGGTCCTTGGGTTTCAGAAGGCGCTTTGCATGTAATCGAGATACAATGAATGCAGGATTCTGCGACTACCATTGTTTGGAAGCTGGATGAGAAAAAATGAGAAGGTTGGAGGAAACACTATGAAGGTTAAGGATTTACCTGGTGTGAGATGTCACATTGTTCGAGGAACCCTAGATGCTTAGAATGTATGTGGAATTGTGAAAATAAATTTTCAAAACAAGAAATATTTTTGGATATAAGGGGTTTGGAGTATAACGATGTGCCAAGTATTTGTCAATCTTTTTAGCGATGGATTAGGTTGTCATTGAACTTATGCATACACTTGATCCATTCATTTTTCATAATTTTACTCATTATAGGGATGCACAAATTCACAAATTTCCATGAGTTTCTAGCAAAATTTTGTTTACTACATCACGATTGATCTAGCAAATTTTTGTTAAGTTCTATTACCTGATTCAAAATGAAATTCACCTATTACTCGATTCGAGTAAATTCGAAAGAGTTTGATTCCATAACTGTATTGCTCATAAATGCATGATACTACTTTTGATTTTCAACTGATGCAACACCAAGCGATTGCACCAAAATGTAAAAAAAGGAAAACCTTGATTTGTGTATAATCCAGATAAATCTCTTTACATGGACAAGACATTAGGTTTTTAGGTAGGACGACCGACAACAACAACAGTAACGACAGGATAGTAGCTCTCATCAATCTCACAATTTCAAGTACGAATATGTTTTTTGTTCAGTAAGAATATGTTTTTTGTTGGTGTTGAAAAATACTAGTGATTTGAGTAACTATGGAATAGACACAAGATGGAACAAATCAAATTCGACGGGACAGGTTGAGGAGAGAGGGGAGGGAAGGAGGACCTATTCTTCTCGAGCCCGTTCGACATCCTTTGATGTGATTATTCATAACATACTACATCGAAGGCGCCCGATAACGATGATGATAAACCAGTAATATCAACAATAGGAGGACAATATTGAGACACATGCTTCTTCGACCACCTCGTCAACGAACTAGATCAAACATGTCAGATTTGAGATTGTAATACATAAGCAATATTAATAGTAGGATGACAACATTGAGACTCTCGATTGGAATCCTATCTATTGAAAATGTATTTAAGTAATCTAGTTATTCCAATGATTAGCCTATAAAACTGAGCCTTCTCAAGAACAACTTTTTTTTAGCTTAACCATACCAACAATTTAACCAAGAGAATATACACAACTCTTTTGCTTTTTAGTTTTTAGTTAAGCACAAAAAGAATGCTCCATCCAACTCCAAAAAAAAAAAAGTACCTGACTTGAAAAAAGCTTCTCACCCCCTCTTATCAGAGACTGAGAGTGCTCATTTTCATCCTTTTGTAGAATCAAAAGTTGACTGTGAAAGTAACAGCAAAACGGACAGTAAAGTTCTTATTCATTAAAATCACCACATGGTTGGTATATGGTAACAATAACATCATCAAACCTTCTGTGGAAGTAAATGCTATACAACACCCATACAAGTTTCAAAGATCACTACTAAATAGATGTAACAATTTGTGTACAATGTTCATTCATCACTCATCAAAGGATGTCACAGATTGCATTATAACAGGTAGATACATGTGTGATTTCACCTGACTCGAGAACTGAATTGATCGATGACCATTTCGAGTAATCGTAAAAGCTCCACTTTATTAGTAAATGAATGTTGGCTATCAAGGACCTATATTGCAACCCCTTCCTAGGCTCTATCCATCAACTGATTAAAGTAAACCATGGATGAAGTTGACTTTGATCATAAACCAGGGCGGACTTGCCCAATGGTTGCGGCCCCAAGATTTTCACGACAGAGCTGAAGACAATGATTTGTACGCACTAACACATAGCTTGAACTTCTCAGCAGCCGCGACCTGGGAATCACCCTGATGTGATCTGTCTGGATGCCATTTCAGTGCTGACTCTCGAAACCTGCAAAACAAAGCACCAGAGAAGAAAAGTATTTGAAGACGTGAATCAGTGTCTCTCAAAGATGTGATTGTCATTGTAAGGTCAAGGGCTTACGCGTTCTTCACTTCTTCGATCTCCAGAGGGCCGGACAAGGGCAAACCGAGGGTGCTTCTGTCAGAAAATGATCCGACAACGATAACCAACATTATGGTATTCTTCATCAATTAGTTACACTTCAAATTTGACTTGTCGAAATGAAATGATTGTGAAAAAATGTATAAACGAACATCGCTCTCACAACTAAACCAGCTCATCAAAATAACCTACAAATGGATTTCATGAGCCTAAACTATCCTCAATTGAGTTTCATTCCCCAACGGAGATAGTAGGATCTAAATTATTTCCCACTTTATGTTTGGTGAATGGTGCCTAACAAACACTAGGAGAAAGAGGTAAAAACCATTTTCAAATTTTTTGAATCCAGAAATTAGAGTTACAAACCCGGACATAATTTACACTTTCCTTATTAAAACAACCACGGCTTCATCCCCACTTCGGCCCATACACAAGCATAGGTCCAAACCCAACAACAACTTGGGAACCTTGCCACCTTGTTTGATGGGAGAGGAATCTGTGGGGGGCTCCTTGCTAGCTGCTGGGTGGACCGATTTGAAGCACCCTCCACCACAGTAGCAAACTTCCCCGAGTTAAGGATCCCAACATTGCTGTATGCCACATTTGGCAAAACATCACAAGTTCTAAACATACTGTTGATATTTGATGGGTTCAGAACAAGTGGTGACGGTGCACTGATCACCACTGCCGTTTCAGCCAATATAGTAGGCCAGCTAAGAGGGGATCACCCTGCAGTTTGGTAGCGGCAGCAATACTTGAGAGTATCGGGTCTATGAAGGGATTGGTTGGCCGCCTTGATGATCAGGTTCTTCCCCTTGCGAGGATGGTTATCTGTGTTTGCCATGCGCTGGAAGAACCCAGTCAGCAAGGGACCAACTAATCCCTTACAGGTGTGATACCCACAAGTACTGTTGTCACTACCCAATCGTAGGGTGATCCCCTCTCCACTAGCCTACTATATTAAATCAGCTAGGTGATAAGTGCATCATCAACACTTATTACAAACCCATCAATCACCATCAACAATATGCTTGTAGCTTTTTAAGTTTCGCCAAATGTGCCATACCACATCAATTTGGGGATCCTTAACATGGTGAAGGTTGCTGCTGTGGTGGCGGGTGCTTCAAATCGATCAACCCAGCAGCCAACAAGGAAATTAAGAAAGCAATGGAGAACACAGGTTTCACACTTAAGAGGGGAACTTGGGATTTTTTGAGGAGAAAGAAAACTGAACTTACGGAAGCAGTTGAGTTTTCATTGAGAGTGGTGGAACTTGTAGCCAGGTATCACACCTGTCATATCTATATCTCTAAATTCATTCATAATATCGAACTAAAATGTTCATAACTCGTATCACGCATTGACAGAAAGAAAAACCATGACTGGAGACAATCAAGAGGCTCCATTTGCATGTACAGGAACAGTTGTCCCATTCGTATCGTATGCATGCATGAACTCATGCATCCAATGCATTTTCATTCTTGCAAAAAATAGCTAAGCAAATGGCAAGTAATAATAAAATTAAAACCCATTCATATCGTATGCATGCATGAACTCATGCATCCAATGCATTTTCATTCTTGCAAAAAATAGCTAAGCAAATGGAAAGTAATAATAAAATTAAAAACAAAACATGGCGTGAGCGAGGCTCGTACTCTCGACTATAGGTGTCAATCGGGCGGGTTCGGGCTGGGTTCAATCGGGTTCGGGTTCAAACGGGTTGCGGGTTAGTCGGGTTGCGGGTTCATCGGGTTCGGGTTCAATCGGGTTTGGGTTCAAACGGGTTGCGGGTTAGTCGGGTTGCGGGTTAATCGAGTTCGGGTTCATCGGGTTCAGGTTCAAACGGGTTGCGGGTTAGTCGGGTTGCGGGTTCATCGGGTTCGGATTCAATCGGGTTGCGGGCAAATCGGGTTGCGGGTTCATCGAGTTTTGGGTCGGGCGGATCGGGTTTCGGGTTGTTCGGGCTAGCGCATCAAGTAACTTAACTTATTACTCATTACCAACTTACACATTTTATTACACTAATTTAAAATATTTTCTCAACTTTTTAACCAATTTATTTCTACCTCGTATATATATACTTTATTTTTTTGAAAAAAACTAGTCAAAATGTTAAACCAATTTGTATGACTTGAAAACTTGTTATGTAATTAATCATAATTGGTAAAGTATTATAGCTAATAGTAATGGTGATATCAATATTTGCAACCAAAAGACACCGTTAATTGTTTATTTGATATTTTAGTATTAATTCAGTAGTAATTGGATTAAAGTATCTCGTTTAGTATAACCATGCAAATATGGTATTTGGCGTGTGGTATTTGGCAAAAGCATAGTGATAAAAGGAGTTATTTCAAAATAACTCATTGCCCAAATAACTTTAGTAAACTGTTGCCAAACGAGTTATTTGTAAAATTGTTCGAATTATCCTAAAACTTGAACCATTAAAGATTAGATATCAAATTTAGTAAAATTATTGTGACTTCAATCATAACTTACTCAATAGCATATATCCTATACACTTAGCTTTACCCTCAATCAACAATATTAAGTTAGTATATGTTGTTGATTGTATACCCTAAACCATCAATACATTATACACTAACCACATAACCTATACCCTAACCATATGTCCTTGAGTTGTGATTTTGCTAGTATAGTTAATTTAAAAGTGAAATTCATACTTTGATTTTCAAAACATAGATAAAAAGTGATATTTGCTAATTGTTATACCCTAACCATATATCCTATACTTTACACCACATACCTTGTACCCTAACCACGTACCATAAACATAAATTAAAAAGGGATCTCCTATCGTTAAAGACTTCAAATGACTTCAAGTGAACATATGTTAATAAAAAACTTAGAACCGTCAAAACCATCAATATCTTATACCCTAACCATATACCCCCTAAACCATATGTACCTTATACCTTATACCCTAACCATATACTTTATATCCTAAACAACGAACCGTCAAAGATTACTTATCAAGTTTAGTATAAATTGTTGTAACTAATGGTTAAGTTATTTATTAGCCCATAAAAAATTACATACATATATACATATTAGCCTTCAAAGCATATAAGAATAATTTTAACTAGTCATGCCCTCCATATAAAAGTTAAAGATTCATATTTCAAAAGCTAAAATTATGAAAAACCAAAAAATTGAAAACACCAAATTTGTTTGCTTCTTTATTTTCACAAAAATACTAAAATTTCCCTCCTTCTTTCTCCTTCCATACATTAGAAAAACTCAATTTTCCCTCCTCTTTCTCTTCCATTAAATTGAAAGAACCAAATTACCCTCTTCTTTCCTTCTACAAAAAGTTGAAAAGTCAAAAGTTTCCCTCCTTATTTCTATTTCATAATCAAAAGAATCAAATTTTCCCACTTCTTTCTCTCCCACATATCAAAACCACCAAAATTCCCACTTATTTCTTTTCTAAAAAATTCAAAGAACCAAATTTCCCTCTTCTTTCTCTTCCCAAAAACTTGAATACACCAAAATTTTCCTCTTCTTTTAAAAACATCAAACTACCAAATACATTACTTTACTTTATTTATATTTAATTGATAATTTTGTTGAATAGTTAAATTAACCAAAATTTTAATTTATATATTATATTAATATTGTCATGATCTCAAGTGACCTTCATGTTTCAATTTTTGTAATTTTCTTAAAACATAGGATAGCTCTATCCCCCACATCCCCCACATAGGATAGCTCTATCCCACCTTTGTTTTGCGGATGACTTGCTCATTTTTACTAAAGGGACTTGTGAGGCAGTGGAGACCACAAAACAGATCCTAGACATATTCTATACTGTGTCAGGATTGAAATGCAATCCAACAAAAAGTGAAGTTTTCTGTGCTGGAGTAGATGCTGAAACTAAGGGACAAATCTCTAGGAGAACTGGATTTGTAGTTGGGAAACTTCCAGTACGTTACTTGGGAGTCCCTCTGATTGCTGGGAAGTTAAACACTGCTGATTGTGCTGCTTTGGTTGATAAAATAACTGCTCGAATTAAGGGTTGGAATGTCAGAGCTCTCTCATATGCTGGGAAATTGCAATTAGTTACAGCTGTTATTTCTAGTATTACACAATATTAGATGGGGATTATTACTCTGCCTGTTAAGGTGATCAAACAAGTTGAAAAGCTCTGCTCTGATTTTCTTTGGAATGCTGAGGAGGAGGGAAAAAAGGCAAAGGTGAATTGGAATTATGTGGCTAGGCCAAAAAAGGAGGGAGGTTTGGGTTTCAAGGATCTAAGAAGTTGGAATTCAGCCTGTCTTATCAGGCATCTATGGGCATTGGCATCTAATTCCTCCTCTCTATGGGCTCACTGGGTTCGTCAGTATCAGCTCACTTATACATCTATCTGGGACATTCCATCTTCAATAAACTGTTCTTGGGCATGGAGGAAGGTCTTAATGCAAAGGGACTATGCAGAGCATCATCTCTCTGTTAGACATTCTGAGGTCTATTGGGATGGCCAACCTATGAGCAAGTACTCAGTAAAGAAAGTCTGGGAGTCTCTTCGACCCAAATATGATAAAGTCCCTTGGTATGGATTAGTCTGGAAATCTCTATGTACACCTCGAGATAAAGTTCTTGGGTGGCTTATTATCCTCAACAGGATAAGCACACTGGACAAGGTGCAGGCTTGGAGTCCATCTGTTAACAACATATGTCCCCTATGTACTGCTGCACCAGAGTCGAGGAGTCATTTGTTTTTTGATTGCCCTTATTCTCAAAAGGTTTTGCAGGCTGTCTTTCACTCGAGGTTCCAATTAGGAAGAAGCTGGGATGAGAACTTGGCGATTGCTTTAGGCCGGTTTAAAACAACTTCACCAAATTCTGACAGGGGCAGGCTGTTTTGGTTGACAGTGGTGAGTGAATTATGGAGAGAGCGGTGTCGAAGGTTGTATGGCAGCGAGACTCTAGCAGAGGAACAGTTGCTGAAGAAGCTGCAGCGGATGCTGCTTTTACTAAGGAGTGGTTTCCCTCAAGTTAGTGCAGTAGTCAGTGAGACAGAGATAATCAGTATAGTGTAACACATTGGTTTGTTTCCAGTTTATTAGGAAGGTTTTGTTGTTTTAGCTGCTGTAGTTGTAGCCAGGGTGACTGCCACATTTTCTGTAATCAGACAGTTGTAGCTTGGTACCAGTTAGAATGGTGTTATACCATTCTTTCTTGATGAATACACAACTTATTCATAAAAATAAAAAAAAAACTTTGTTTTGAAAAACTATGTATTGTATATTTTTATAATTATTCAAGTGGATTAGATGAAATTCGGGTTGAGTCGGTCGGGGTTACGGGTTAGTCGGGTTCGGGTCAATCGGGTTCGGGTTAATCGGGTTGCGGGTCAGTCGGGTTGCGGGTCAATCGGGTTCGGGTTAATCGGGTTGCGGGTTAGTCGGGTTGCGGGTTAGTTGGGTTGCGGGTCGAGCGGGTTACGGGTTGTTGACTTTTAGTCAATTCGGGTTGCGGGTCGGGTTGATCGGGCGGGTTAATCGGGTCGGGCTATGTTTTGACACCTATACTCTCGACCTCAGGATCACACCTTAGCTGTGAGACCTACGGGCTACGAGCTAACCAACTGTGCCACCACCCCTTGAATTTAGATCTCGTGCTAAGCAAATCCAAAGTTTTAACAATGACGAGTTATTTTGTGGATTAAAAGGAATTGATGAATTAGCTGATTTGTTGGTAGAGACAAAATGGAATCTATCGTATCAATAGGTTTATTTGCTTTTCAAACTTGTATTGATCATACCGGTTGCAACTTTAAGTGTTGAGAGATCTTTTTCAGCTTTGGGTCACATCAAGAACAACTTTCGGAATCGAGTAGGCGATCAGTTCGTGAATGATTATCCATAGGATGTATTGAAAGTAATTTCTTGCGCACTATAGACAATGAGTGTATTTTTCAATTTTTTCAAAATATGATAACATATTGAGGACTTTGTTCGTAGCTTGTACTAGTCGAATATTTTCTTATTTAATTTTTTAATTTAATTTATTTTAATTTTTAAAAGGGACACCTCTATATATATTTTTTGGGTCTGCCACTGCTCGAGACTATAAAAAAAATTTGTTCACTAACCATTGATCTAGATCGTCGTATTATACTAGTTTAACCACTTTCTGTCGCTATAGCTATTGTCATATAAAAAATTATTCTATCACCATTCCATATCAAAATACTTGATTGCTAACTTTATCCATCCGATAGCTTCTCCAATCAATCCGGCAACTTTCAGTCCAATTATTCATAACATACCATAAGATAGAAATTATGATAAATCTGTAGTATCAACAGCAGGAGGACAATATTGAAACGTATGTTTTTTCGATCACCTCGTCCGCCTTCGTTGTGTTTGATTCATAACGAACTAGATCAAACATGCCATGTTGAGATTGTAATAGATGGGCAATACTAACAGTAGTATGGCAACATTGAGATTGTCGACTGGAATCCTATCCATTGAAAATGAACTCAATTAATCTAGTCATTCCAATGATTAGACTTCAAAATTGAACCTTCTCAAGAACAACCTTTTAGCTTAACGATATCGTGCTAGAGTCGTATACAGAAGGTGTTGGATTGGATTCTTTTTACAAGTTGTCAGCCAACGGGAACAAATCACAATTAGTTTTGATGATTTTGTCACATAGCTAATTAATCACAATTAGTTTTGATGTTACCATGTGGTTGGTAAATGGTAACATCATCAACCTTCTGTTGAAGTATATGCTACTAATAAATATACAGCAATGCTTCTTCATTGAACTGTTCGCCATGGTAAAACTCCCACGATCGACAGGCTGAAGAGAAGAGGTTGGGTCATTGCTAAACGTTGCGAGCTTTGTAAGAAGGATGAAGAATCCCAAAACCATCTTCTTATCAATTGCGAATATACCAGGAGTATTTGGGATTTTCTTCAAAAGAAGATGCAGCGGGATACACCATCATGGCGATTTGAACCAAGCAACAAGGACAATCCACGAGTTGAAACCTCAATGAACAAGTTTTGAATTGATTAACGTCTAACTATTACAATGGAGTTTGTAGGTCTTTAAATAAGCAAACTGAAACCTAATTCGAGTACAAAACAAACAAGGAAAGCTAATTAATCCTAATACGTCTAAAGGTAACAAACCTAAACAGAAAAGGAATCCCAACTCGCCCATAAAACCCAAAACTTGTAGCTCACGTAAACTGCCTCCAAAACAGGTTCCATAGCAACTTTGACCCTCACGTTCACATGCCTCCAGGTCTCCATCTCCTTAGCCAATACCTTGCTTCTGTAGATAAACAAACACACTTTCATGTGGTACAAAGATCCTTCCCTGATTGGAACCCATCTTCCCTGAATGTAGCTCCAAAGTGACCTTCCTGACCATGCTTCCAGACTTGGCCAAATTCTGGCAGTTTGCCAGTTTTGAGACAGCTACTTTGAGGCCTTGAAACACAGCCTTAAAGACCTTGTATGAACCCGAATCCCATGCCATCTTGTAGAGGAAGTGTTTATCTTCAAAACAAAACCTTAACCTCGAATTTCTATCAACCTAATTGGAAGGTTCGAGCTCGCAAAGTCGGCTACCTGAACTCGTCATAATACTTAGCCAAAAATTCAGATTGTGCAAATGAGTTAGCTTAGCTTCTTGAACGAACAATTCTAACTTGGAATGAAAGCAATCCAAGCTCATATCATGAGCACCCATTTTGGTGTCACGGCCAGGCATATTGCTCAAGAGATTGTTAATTGGATCACGGCGCACGACAAAGCCAGTAGGTCACAATGCTCTGAGTGGTTGAGAACACACTTTGAAAGATGAGCAAGTGTGATACAGGGGTTCTTCTTTTCCTTCTTTTTTCTTGCAGGACCTTCCTTTCCTCATGGTCCTGTAGTTCTTGCCTTGCTGCACTTGTATGCTGACCAGCAGTTGCAGTCTCTTTCTCCTTCTCCTTCTCTTTTCCTGCTATTGTTTTTTTGCTTCGTGTACCAAGTTCAGTTCTGCTAAACTTCAAACCTTGCTTTTTGATTCCCGTTCTCTTTATTTAATTTTATCAACCTTATAAAAAAAAATATAGATGTAACAATTTGTGTACAATGTTCATTCATCACTGATCAAAGAATTGTCAATTGTCACATATTGCTGTCGAATAGGTAGATTCTACCTGTGTGATTTCACCTGACTTGATAACTGAATTGATCGATGACCATGGCGAGTAATCCTAAAAGCTCCACGTTATTAGTAACAGAATGGTGGCTATCAAGGACCTAGATTGCAACCCCTTCATAGGCTCTAGCCATCCACGTAAACCATGGATGGAGCGATCTTTGATCATAACCCAGGGTGGACATGGCCAATGGCTGCGGCCCCAAGGTTCTCACGAGTCATGACAGAGCTGAACACAATGATTTATATGCACTAACACATAGCTTGAACTTCTCAGCAGCCGTGGCCTGGGAATCGCCCTGATGTCTGTCTGGATGCCATTTCAGTGCTGACTCTCGAAACCTGCAAAACAAAGCACCAGAGAAGAAAACTATTTGAAGCCCTGATTCAATGTCCCTCAAAAATGTGATTGTAAGGCCAAGGGCTTACGCGTTCTTCACTTCTTCGATCTCCAGAGGGCAGGACAAGGGCAAACCGAGGGTTCTTCTGTCGGAAAATGATCCGACAACGATGGGTGACTCCCCATCAGACTTGGGTTCACTTCCATTGCCACATTCTTGGCTTCTCTTCAATGTCCAGTGGGTAGACTCTGTGTTTGATCGTTGGGAAGCAAACCCTTGGTGGAAGGACCAAGTGTACCATTTGTTCCCGAATTTCGCTTGGAATATGGACTCGGGATCATCTGAGTCCTCACCAGAGGTGTCTCTACGAAACTTGCCTGTGAGAGTATTGATGAATAGCATTTTAAACACATGACCAAGAAAGATGGTTTAAACAGCTTTTGAAACTCTTCCATCGTGAACGAATAAATCAACCGGGTTCTATCGTATAGCTATATGGATAAAGAATTAGGTCATTGTGAAAGCTTACGCTTCATCCTGACACTATGACCCCTTCTGTTTGTACGTTGACTTGAAGAATTTGAATGTCTTTTCTTGTCAGCAGTAAATCTGTCTTCTGCACCAAAGTTCCACAATCGTTCTTCCTAAGAACAAAGCCGCAGCAGCAATCATACTCAGAATCCAAATTAACAAGGCAGTATTCTATGATCTGGGGCTATTCCTCCTCTAGAAACAAGTTGATTAGTGCATAAAGGCACATTCATTTGTTAATATCAGAATGTCGAGGTAGGCTTGCTTCAATTTCGACTGCCATTGGAAGTGTGTCATCAAAACCAGCTATTCTTCATAAGAAGAGTCTACTAAATTAGTATGTGCAGCAAGTCGGCAAATGCTAATGTATCTAAGTCTGGACAAAAGGCCATCTAAGTTCTTCGACGAACTCTTGATCAATTGTCATCTATCGCAAACTTGGTGAACTTTATAGTGTGGAATTTCCCAGAAACTGTTACCTGACGCCGCGGTGGTGAGGCTCCATTACTGAAGAGGAGATGCTTCAAAGCCTTCTTTGTATCAGCACGTTTTTGTCGTACCGCGAATCTCACATGATCCTAGACAAATCATTCTCACGTCGTCAGATAAACTTCCACTTTGGGATCAAAGCAAGAAAGCCCCTATTCTGGCGAATTGATTTGAGATGCAGAATGCTCCATCTATCCAACGATCAACATTCACCTAACAATGTCGACAAACAATACGCAGAAAAGCAAATACAGAGAAGCTGCCTGCTACAACTATCTCTCATGGAAATGGATCGAAGGATTCCATAAGAACCAATTCCAACAAGTAACCAACGAATACAAGATAAAAGCCTGGAACTTGAAGCTTCCAAGAACTCACAGTTTTTCCCTTGTTCTTCGACCGGTCGCAGGAAGTGGCCGTCGAATGAATCGAGGCCACGGAGGAGGTGTTCAGATTCGATTGAGAAAGAGCTGGAATCAAGTTGTTCTTCACGATTAACACGTTTCGCCATTTGGGTACTTGCATAATCAAGGAAAGAACCGAGCTTTTTCACCAACTTGGGTGTTCCAGCAGTTCCGCTGACAGTAAGGATCTCCGCAACCGGCGATTTGGCGGGGGGAAGGGATTTTAGTTTATGGGCTTTTCAGTTTTCACAAAGTGATCAAATATCGAATTTGGTACTCAAACTTTAAACACCCAACAAAGATGCCCTCTAACTTTGGTGTTACGTTTCCTTCTTGTCCTCTACGTAGTATGAAATTCCACCGAATTAGCATACGATCTCATACGATAAAGATGAGGATGGTGATTGCACGAAAGAACGTATTTGATTCGATCTGATTCGGTTCGGTTGCAGTTTGGTCAATCTACTTCATGGATTTTAGAGGAACTAATGGAACAAAAAGAAAAAAAATCCTGATTATGAGAGCTCAAATTATTTTGGATCAATATATCAAGTTATCAACTCATTTTGCTTAGTAGCAAAAAACAAAGCAAAACTCTGGTTTCATGCAAAATAATGCGAACATAATGAGGAAGCAATAGCTGGAGAAAACCATCAAGAAGCATAGGAGCATACAACATCAGCAAGATATGGAGTCATAACATTGATGTGATGGTCGATTCAGTCAAATATACACGCGAAAAATCCTAACGTGTAATGAGAAATCCTAAATACCTGGTTACCCTACAGAGCCTTGAAGGACAAATTTGTCCATCATTAGAGGCTGAGATTCAACCCAGAGAGTAGAACAACGACCATCTGTCTGGCCTTTGCTTTAACTCCAATTCTGTACTTTGCTTCATAGCTTGAGAGTGTAATTGTCAGACCATCATTTATCCCCAGCAATGTCTTAAACTAGATGGAACCTGATCCTGCAAGAGCTTCACGTTCTTGACGACGTTGTTCTCTCTGATGAAAACAGTTTCGGACCATGAACATTAGGCCTTCTTTAGAATTAACCAAGAAACAAAGAATTTTCTATCAGCAAAAGGATATGCAGGGGGGGGTTCAAGTTACCCTTCTTTCCCAATAAGGGTGGAAGCACACGAAATCATAGACAGGGGTAATGGTTGAAACCAGGACCACATTCAGTCCTGTGAACACCAGCAAAGCTGCCCTTGGCCGCGTCCTATGGGGCATCTTTGCTCACTTGCCTCTGCAAGACTCTCTTTGTCTGCAATATGTTTAGAAAGCGGATTTGAGTTGCAGAAGTCTCAGAAACGCGTAATTTGGAATAAGGTACATAAACCTCTATGATTGACTATGAACATAAAATGCCATAATGACATGAAGCAGGCCATCATACCAGATCTATGCACAAGCTTTGGAACCAAATTCAAAGCACTCTAAACTAAACTCTCAGGTTCCATCAACATCCACATTGCGATTCGAAGATCTCAACATATACTCACGGACCCTAATTAACCCCCCCAACTCCAGGAGGCATCTGATGAGCCATTGATTTGAGCAAGTCAGAAACTCAAGTTCTGATGATCACGTAATCAATCATTACATCCCCGAGTTTCGATCAGAGAAATCTACTCATTCCTAGCATTGCACTTCCTAGCCAAGATCATATACAATCCAAGTTTGGGGACTAAACTAACAGGAGTCGAACAAAGATCTGAAAGTTCATGATCATTCCCTACGAGTGAAGTATTACTGAAACCAACAAATCAAAGCTAGGGCCTTTTTCACTCATGCAAGCAGAACACGCCACAACCATGTCTCTAATAATGAGCAAACTACAAACCCACTTTCTAAAGTTCCAAAATTTCTTCATAAACAACAGAACCCAATAACCTAATCTCAAATTCCTCCTCGTCTAGTTTTCTCACCACTTTACATTTCTGTTTTGGCATTCTCCGTTTAACAAATCTTCTTCTATCCTAACGGACATCTTCCAAATGGAACTCAAATAAGAAGGAATCGAATGCTTTCAGTACCTTTTTTCAAGCCCCCAATGAATTCTTCGAGCAGCTTCGCCTCTTCGCCGGCGGCGAGACTCAGAGATCACAGGAAGAAAGACGGATAAAGGGAGCAGTTCTCTGAGTAAGGACTCGCTAGTTAAAAGATGTATTGGGCTTATCGGCCCAAAAAATTAGCTCTAATTTAGATCCAAAAGCCCACATTCAATATTCAGTGGCACTAGGAAAGAAACGCCGGTTAGCTCCATTTTACCAGCGCGAATTCGAAAACCCGCTTTTAAACCCAAAAAATAATTCCGCCGCCGTCTCCGTTATCTTCCTCCTCCTTCCGCCGGCGAGAAGTTCCCCACCGACACCGCAAGCCCCGGAGGCGCAGATTTCCCGTAAGTGTTGACCTTTTCCTTCTTCAATCTCCTTTTGGTATCTTTCTCCCATGGGATTTTTCTGTCCCGAAGAAATGACAGGAACCTTGAGATTTCGAAGCAAGCAGTAAGTACACGTAGAGGTGAATCAACAAGTTGAAACTCGAGCACTGTGAATTTTGCTGCTTAAGCTCAACAATGGAGTTGTCTATTCTGTAAACTGATAGTGAACCTGACTGTTAATTTCAGTGTTTGTTTACTTGGAAATGGAAAACATTTGCACCCGATAATGTATTGTTGTTACTCTCTAGGTTCTAAGTTTTTTGAATTGAAATGATTTCTATTTTCAGAAAGGTGGGAAGGAGATTCAACTTTGGGTTTGGAATGAACTGCTTGTCTAGGTTATCTGCATACTCCTCAACCATCTTTGGAAGGTCGACCAGCCATTTCATTGTCAAGGGCACCTGGAATCAGTGCTCAAGCCCCCTTTGGAAACGCAGCCTTGAGCTTAGTTCCGTTAGAACTGGAAACCCGAAATGTGTATTTCCTAAGTTTGTCACCCGTTGCTACTCAACCGAGAAGCCCAAATCAAAAGCTCCACGGAAAAGGAAGTCTTTAGAGCAGAAAGAGACGGATATGGAGAAAGATTCTTTCTTTGTGGTGCGGAAGGGGGATGTTGTTGGTGTGTACAAGACTTTTAATGAGTGTCAGGCTCAAGTCGGATCTTCAGTAAGACATAGCGATGATCGATATTTGTTTATTCTGATTTTGGAGTCTCGAGCATTCTTTTGAATGTCTGATTTTTTGACAGATATGTGACCCTCCTGTGAGCATTTACAAAGGGGAATCGATACCGGATGAAACCAAAGAGTATCTTGCAACTTGTGGACTTCAGAATGCTATATTCACTATTCGAGCTCAAGATTTGAAGCCTGATCTCTTTGGCACACTTGTCCCTTGGCCATTTCAGGTGAGTTAGATAACTTTAAAATACGTAGATGTTCATCAAGGCCACATGTTAGCCTATAGGTGTTAAAGATGGACTTACATCACAGTTGTAGATTAAGACTTGTTCTACATATTTACAGCAACATGGTCATTTCACGGAACAAATTGATGCCAGGGATGGCAAAAAGGGAACCCTAGATATGATGATACCACAAGTAGTGGTAAGTTATGGTTTCCTTCAGATGGTAAACTCTTCAGCTTGCTTACCGTGGTCAACCCTCTCTCTGTATGCTTTCTCTCTATAGATGCATTGCTGATGTTTGGCAGGAAGCAGGTGGAACCACATTGAGTATAGCCGATCCCTCGAAAAAGGCTGTCCGATTGGATCATCAAATGGCTACTCCGCTACGTTCTTTTGGTTATGAGCCGGTAAGTGGTTATATGGCAAAGATGTATGATCATGTGTAAACTATTCCTTCTGATTTACATTTGACAATCAGCTCTTTGTCACATTTAGTTCTCAGGACACATTTTTATGTCCATGCTCTCGTAAAGTCAGATTGTGGAGCTATGTAACTTGGTACAGAAAACTTACTCTGTCTTCTGGCCTACAGGAATTTTGTACCCTCGAGTTTGATGGTGCTTCAAGGGGAAACCCTGGACCAGCCGGGGCTGGAGCTGTTCTACGGACAAGTGATGGAACTTTGGTGTGCATTGATTTTCAAGTATCTATAGCATTTTTCTTCCTCATGCTTCCATATATCTAAAACTTACAGTTTTGCGTAGATATGCAGGTTGCAGGAAGGATTAGGGACCAAGACTAATAATGTGGCTGAGTATAGAGCTGTACTTCTTGGACTGAGATATGCTCTCCAGAGGGGCTATAGAAACATACGTTTACAAGGCGACTCCAAGCTTGTGTGCTCTCAGGTTTGGCTAATATTTTCTCCCCTTCCACTGACCACTTGCATTTTGGGTTTAAATGACTAATAGATCACTGAACTACGATATTTGTAGCAAAATGGTCACCAAGCTAACTAAAAATCCTAACAAAATTAACTAAACTAAACGTGTTCTAACAAATACCAGATTGGATAGTTGATTCGGGTTGTCGACCGGCCGGTTTTTGGTCACATGACAACCCTGTTGGCATATTGACTCAACCAATACCAGATTAGATGTCGTGACTGTTTTGCTACCAATTGCTTAGTTTAGGTAGCCTTCTGTTGCGCTTTCTATACTTCATTGACTGTTTAGCTACGAAGCTCTTAATTCAGTGGCCTGGGGGGCATTTCATCCTCGCATTTTTTTTTCCAGCGATGGTGAAAATAACCGTATCTCGAAACTCTTATGTCACAGATTGATGGTACATGGAAGGTCAAGCACGCCGGCATGGCTGAATTATGCGATCAGGTCAAAGAGCTGAAGGACAGATTTGTCTCTTTCGAGATTAACCATGTTCTAAGGGTAAAGACCATTTCAAAAACATGATGATACATTACCAGATCAATGTTTCATCTCATATTCATGAACTGCTTTTTCTCTTCAGGAATTCAACGCCGAAGCTGATGTTCAAGCAAATCTTGCTGTCAATCTTCGTGGTGAGAAAACCCCCTTCGTCTCGTTTAAGCTTTTTGTTTGTTATGGCTTTTCGATCGAGAAACCGACATGTACCAACAGTCTGCTAATGTTTTTTTTTTTTTTTTTTTCTTGCTTCAGAAGGAGCAGTTCAAGAGGTTTACGAATAGCAGCATAGCTACTTAAGAAGAAGAAAAAAAACTTGTTTCTTCTTCGACCTGGTTTTCCCGCTTACCTGTCCTTATCGGGGTGGCCAAAATAGTTGAAAGATAGACGAAGTTCTTGATGAGTAGAGAGGCTTTACATTCAGCACGGGAGATATCAGAAAGGGGCCAGTTTTTGCAATGTAATTTCCAGTTCCCATGCAGGTTTGAACAACTTATTATGAACACCTCGGAAGTTGAGAATATGGGCTATATTACCCTTTGATGCTGACATCGACAGCCATTTCGGATACAGTCGAAGAAAGAAATTGCTATGCTGGGTGTTATCTAACTTTTAACGAACTTGTCAAGTTTGGAATCAAGTGTCGATGTGACATAATAGTTGCGTTGTTTAGCCTCGTCAACATGTAGTCCAGAAGTGTCCATATCAACTCATCATTGTCGTCATCCAATCCAGCGGGACTAATACAGGTCATATAGATTGAAATTGGGTCGAGTAATAAATTTAATATGCATGGATATGGATATAAAATTTTGTATGTTATTTTTTTCCCTCCTATTGTTTTGGATTAGTATGTGTAAGAACTAACTAAGCTCTATTTTCTTGCTAAAGAGAAGCTTAAAAGCATAAACCAACTCTGAGGCACCAGTTGTTCATGTTGCCATTTTCAATATTCAATAGCCGCCACACAGCTAAACTCAGAAATGAGTAGACATACCAGAGAGTCTGTGAAATATGTCTCAGAAATCATTCCTTAGCTTACTGGAATATCCCATGTAATATAGGCCTCCTCTCTAACAAATTATGTTAGAGGTAGGATAGCTAGAAAGTAATATCACTCAGCGTCAGGTAGACTCTTTGGCGGTCCATCAAAGCAGACCTTCGCCGTCTCGTTCTATTACATATTAGAATGTGTGATTATGAACTCCATTTTTATTCATATGTGTTCTCATTTTATCTTTATAAATACTCAGACAAATTCGACGATGAGTGATGGGAACAAAAATATCCTTAGCCATATGTTTTCAATGTTGTAGAAAGTAAAAATCCAGCTAACTTTTCATCAAACCCTAGAGGGATGATGATATATGATCAAAGTAGGCTGGCACGAATTGGTCCCCATTGGTTTTGTCGAAACATTGGAGGATACTAAGGGCCTTTTAGCATGAAACCAAGGAAAAGGGTCGCCATGCCAACCTAGCTTAGCTAACCCACAAAAAACTATACATCGAGTATATAACAGTACAAATGGCGCCAACTCCATCGTTTTCTCTGCTTTGCTGTCTCCAACCAAAACCCCAAAAAAAGTGAAAAACCTAAACATCCAACAAGATTCCACAAGTCAAACTATAAAAAATACTTTGCAACGTACATATCAAACCATTGCCTAACCTTGATGCTTGACATAGTGTTATCATCTGATCTCTTATTCTCGTCTTTGTAAGGAAGAACGAGTCCCAACGTCTTAAACGGTTGTAGCTAGCTGATTTTCAACATGATATTTGAGCTTCTTCTGACTGATAACTATCATGCTCGAATTTCTGATTGATTCTCGCCAACTTTGCATGAATTCGTGGGTAACACAAAAACTCATCGGTTACCAAAATCTCAGTCCAAAACGATTATATAGCAGATGGAACATAGCCAATTTAATTTTTCGTTATCGGGTTCCCGTGAATTATGTGTCGCAGGGTGGCTAGGTCAGTGTATACTCCCTGATTCATGATGTGATTCGGGTTACTGTAGGTTGTGGGTTATGACTGGGGTCGACGATGCATACAACTTAACATATCATTATGGATTGCATGTTCAACGAGGAGCCATCGAAGTAGATTTGGTCATGTAAGCTCAATCGATGAGAAACGATTATAAGTCTTCTTTTTATCAAGATATACTATTAGTATAAACATGTACAAGTCTCTCTATTCATTCAAGTAGCACCCAACCAAAATATTGATGGATTGGATGAGACCAAAACAACATACAACCTAAAATATTATTAATTTCATTTTTCATTGAGTTTGTGTGTTAGAAGAGGAGTCATTAAAACCGATGTGATCATATCAGATACGATCGAGAAACGTAACAATTTGATCCGATTCATTTTTATTTTTAGGAAACACAAGTAAAAGTATATGTACAAGTTTCTCTACCCAACTGGACATACATCGATAGAATTGGATTGGACCAAAACATACAAAACTCATAATCGTCATCCCATTGTATGATTACTCACACAACTCACAAAACGTTAATTAACACCAGCTAATTAATCAAAGATTATGAGGGCATCCATCCAGAATCTATAATTAGAATATATATATGTAGAATCAAAAGTGGTTACAGGGTGGCTACACATGTAACCATAATTTTACCCGTAAAAGAAATATTTGGAAAACCGAAACGATTGTGGCACCCCACATAAATGATTAACATAAAAACCCATGATAAGTTGTGAGCATGTCTGTCTCTCTGTCCGTAACCCCCCTTCCACTCACCATTCATTAGTTTAATTCTAATTGATTTCTCACCAAAACTTAATTACCATTTTTTTCTTATGTAACAAAGCTAGCGTGGGGCCGGCCATTTGGCCGGAGGGTGAGGTATGAAATTTGATGATATAATGGGGTGTATAGCTGATTGTTGTATAGTTTTTTTTTGGAACACGTGATAAAAATAGTGAGTTTTAGTAGGAAAGAGACATGAATGATGCAACGAATCAAAAATTAGCCTTATGAACCAAAATCAAGTACATGTTACCTTGTGAAACAATATTGTTTCTGGTAATATGATGAGGTGGAGTAAGTTTTACAGAAACCGAATTCCAGAAAATCGAATAAAAAATCGAATAAAAACTCGGCCCGTTGGCCGATTAATTTGCTTTATAAAACTTTCATCTTGTTATCATTGTGCTTTCTGGTTTTTTGCCAAGCCATGATAAAATCTAAAGAAATCAAGAATGAACAACACGATTTGGGATATGAACCACCATTCCTGTATCCTTAGAAAATGGTGGTAAACACGAACTCACCTACCAAACTGGTTTGGATTGAGATTTTTATCGGGTATCAGGGAACCATGTGATTATAAATTCGACTTGATCAAAACGGGCCAAAACTTGAAATTCAGCCTGTTTCACCGACCCATGTCAAACTTAAACTTTCAATTTGAAAATAAAAAATAATGAAAAAAAGAGATGACTGCAATTCGCCATTTGCACATCACTGATTCGGGAATAAAACTATATAATTTCGAAAGGAAACTAAAAATGTTTAGGATCGTTTTAATGTTAAAAATAACCAAATAGATCTTTCTGTTTAGTTTTTTACTAAAAATACCAAACGATTCCCTATAATATAAACTATAATTTAATCATTATGATATCAAATAATTACATAATATATATTTGAAATGATAAAAATTGGACTAATTGGGTTGGTCGAGGTTGAACCATTGAATAACTTTAAAATACATTATATTTTAGTCACTAAGATATAAAATAATAGCATAATATATATTATGTTAGAGAAAATAGCTTGTTTTAGAATGGCAAACCCATGATGTTCATTTGTTTACATGATGGGCAAATCTCGTGTAGGTCAGACCCATTCAACTCTTTTATTTTATGAATAGCGGTTAGCCCATTAGAATCCATGCATTAGTTTATTGTTATTTTTTTCTTTTTAGCAATAAAATGAGTATTTTTGCTTTTTCATATATATTTTACCACCACGGAGAAATAAAAGGACTTAAAGAAAAAAATTGACACTCCTGGACCCGTTTAAATCCACATGTGTACGGTAAGTTGGTCCGTTCCACAGAGGAAAAAGAAAAAAATTGACACTCCCTATTCTACTCTTCCTACAAACGCTCCTGGAGCAGGGAATTTGAAATGAGGGAAGAGTTTTTTCCTCTCTACGATTATATGTTTTTAATTTAAAAAGATACAACAAATGTACTTAGTGTGATTTGTTATGATCTTTGCTTTTCTTTAAAGTGGTCATGGTTCGAATCCTATCCTAGTAAGTGTCTTTTTAATGAATAAAAAAAAAGTAATTGTGAAGACCAAAATGTCCTTCCTACTTTCACTCTGGATGTAGGAAATTTGAAATAGGGCTTCAAGTTTTCTCATTTGACTTTTATTTATTGTGTAGACTAGGGGGGTCTTTTTTTTATAACTCACAAAACTTAACTTCACGGCACTCGGGGATGCCTCAGGGAACACACAAGCGACGTCGCTGGGGATTGAACTCAGGACCTCTCACATCCTGAGCCAACCAGGCCAACGGTTTCACCGCTAGGCTATGCTACCTTTGGTAGAGGAAAGAAAATAAACGACACATGGAAGGAATAACATGGTTCATCAATACAATATGTACTATGTACTTTTAACTAACAGACTGAAGACATTTTGACGGTATGATTCGTTGAAGTACAAAAATTCACGAGGAAGCCGTTGCTATAGTGGCAAAGCCAATGAACCGTTTGGGAAACCAGAGTGGGTTGGACTTGTTTGGATCGAGAGCCTTAAAGGGCGAAACACTATAGGTTGCACATGTTACTATGTTAGATTTCTGAAGTCTGAACAATGGATCTCTTCCACGCGGGAACTGGATGTACAACTGGGGGGTGTTGATGAATTTTTGTGCCTTTTGCACGAGTTTTTCATAATTTTAAATCATTGATTAAAGGGTCTTCTGAGTCAATAGTGAAATTTAACTTGCATACATAAAAGATTGTCGGAATCCATCTTTGCCACGAGCAAAATGTACATTATAATACTCCCAATACTTTTGTTAAATCGTATCAAAGATCAACTCAACTAAGAAAATATATGTTTGATTACTTTCCGACCATATAACTCAACTAAGAAAATTCGTTTACCTTCGATTCATGAAACGAAATTTATTACGAGATCCAAATCGAATTGATTTTCATCGTAGTTTTTTATAAGATCTTTCTCACTCTTCTGTAGGCTTGTTCATACAACAATTTGATTCGAGTTCTAGACCAGACCAAATTGTTATCCAACGATCTTACAAGAGAAATTATTAAAAGACTCAACGATGAGGCCATTGTTACCCTCACATTTTAACTCATCCAAACAAACAAACCCTAACTTAATTGTTTATTATATAAACCTCCTTACCCCAACCAATATCCGAGTATATATATAGGTAGGATACAAATGGAGGTACCAATCAAACCGGCAGAAAATAAAATTCTCAAAGAGTCTCTCTCTCTCTCTCTCTCTCTCTCTTTCTCTCCTAAAAACCCTCTCAATTAATTTAGCTCTCAATAGTAATAATCATGGGAGCGTGCGCCACCAAGCCAAAGGTCGCCAAAGACGACCAGCTCCTCCCTGCGCCGGCGCCTGAAGAAGCCACCAAACCGGCGGCGGATCCTTGCCCGGTGGAAGAGCCCAAGAAGGCAGAGGATCAGCCAGCTGCCGTCGCGGTGGAGGAAAAGGAAGTTGTGGTCGTCGGAGAGAAGAAAGAAGTCGAGGAGATAAAAACAGAGGAGGAGGTCAAAACAGAGGAGGCGGCGGCGGCGAAAACAGAGGAGGGTGAAGATATTACTGTGGACGATGAGAGCGCCAGACGGAGATCTCTTAGTAACCTTTTCAAGGAGGTAAAATTTTGTGTCTTTTTTTTTTTACTATGTGATCATAAGAATTTCTCAAGGTTACTCTTTGTTTTTAGTATATTTTCTTTGCTTTTCTTATCGATTTAATAGAGATTAATACTAGGAGTTTTTTTAGATTCTGGGTGTGATCTAGTGGTAAAGATTTTGGTTTTTGGGTAGATTATTGGGGGTTAAACACCCTAGAAAACAAGTTGTGTTCGATTTCTCTGTCGTGATAGTCATAACAGAAACAACGTTTAATCAACTGATCTAAACCAATAGTGTAAGAAGAAGAAGAAAATAAACTATTTTAAGATGAAACAAATAAAAATTCATTAGTTTCGTGTCACAACATTACAATTTTTTCTTACTGGTTCATAATAGATTTGGGTTAGTGATTTGAGTTGAAATTTTGAATAAATTTAGCGGATATTCATGAATTAGGTTTACTTTTGATTCGAAGATGGATCCATTGTGATCAATTTTTTTCATTTTAAGTTTTCTATATATGGAACGTATACCATAAAGTTGGAGCTAAAGTTTCGACCAGGTTATCATCACAATGAAGGTTCTTGCATTTTTTACTAAAAAAAAAGATGGTAATAATTAGTATTCATGATGAGTAAGTACTATTTAGGGTTTTATTTTCTATAAAAATATTTTTTCTAAGTGCAATTTGTTTCCTTTGCTAATCCGGCTGAATTAGTGGATGTGGGCTCCTCTTTGTGCACTAACTTAATCTAGGAAATATTTAAAAAAAATTGACAAATAATAAGACAATAGAAAGAAGGGAAAGTGGTAGATGAATATATAAATAATTCATATGTACAGGCTGTTTGGGATGTCTTTTTGCTTGTCTAACGCGTTGGATTTATAGGTGACCATTGGTTTTCACATTTCTTCCCAACCCCACAATACTTCTCATATTAATTTGATTTTTTAATAAACATATTAATTTTTTTATTTAACATTATAATTTTCTTACAATATCATTATGTCTAATTAATTTGCCAAAAATAAAGACTAAACATAATATAAAGATATGCCGGTATTGATAATTGCATGGGTGGGCACGTTTGATTTTGAGTGTACACGATGGATAATCAAGTTTTAAAGCTAGACTTTAATAATCAAATTTCGGATTTTAATTGTTGTATTTGTTTTAACATAATGATACAGTAGTCTAGAATTTCTTTTTTTTTTTTTGTCTCAAGTAGTCTGGAATTTCAACTATATATCATGCAATTTTTACTCATAAGTTTGTTCTTGTAATAGTCACCATTAGGTGGATTTCTTAAATGATTTGAATGTAAATTCACATAATTTTTCACGTTCGTTATTAAATAATTTAGGAACGAGAACATTTTGAAATGATTCAGAATCAACTATCAAGAGTGTTCAATAGACACACCCATTAAAAACATATCGATGTATTGAACAAGGAAATCGATTTACACTAATGATTTAGAGTTACTCTTATCGGGTAGGGTAGGGTTATAATGTATTGATTTAGTTATTCGCACAAACTTTTAGAATATTCAATGGATTGATATGTGTCACGCTTTAGACCAAAAGCTCAGTATGCTATGTTTAATGCATGTGTAGTAAGTAGGCAAGTAGCCTATCATATATCAAAATCAAATTCTTTTCTATGTGACAATTACTTGACAAGCAAACATGTGGTGTTTTTTTAGGGTTCTCAATTTGGAAAATGACCTCACATAACCCCATTATTGTTTTGGGTCCTCCATTGTCGTGTTCTTGCTTCTTTGGTAGTTATTATGCAACAGGAAAGGGCAAAAAAAGGGGGTCCTCCATCAGTCTTCATCCAATAACTTTCTATGACACAACTTTGTAAAAAAACTGCCATGCATAACATGCACATGTCTATGTATTATGTCAATTAGGTTTGATTGACCCTTTATCGTTGTTGCTCGGCTCGTTCTTAAATCTCATGGTTCGCGGTTTAATTTCAATCAATAACTACTCATTCGTCTATTTGGTTTAAGCAGTTGCGCGTTACGTAAACAATTGCATTAGTTAATATTGTCGACAATGATATTGTACATCTTGCGCGTTTAGTTAGACTTACTCGACTCGAATTAGATTAAACCGCAGAGTGTTTGGATGGATGAATGAGTTGATGAACTTTTTGAAACTTACGTTTGTATGCAAAAAAAAAACAGAGCACAGAAGGAAAAGAGACCTCTGTGGAAGAAGGCAATGAAAAGCCACCAGTATCAGCAGAAGCAGAACCAAAAGCAGAGGAGGTAGCAGTACATGAAAAAGTGACACAACCACCTCCACCACCAGCAGCTGAAGATTGCAAAGAGCCAGAGACCAAAACAGAGGCAGCTCCAGAAGTAAAAGCTGATGAAGAAGAAGTAAAAGAAGAAGTAAAGGAAGAAGAAGAGGAGAAGAAATCAGTAGTGACAGTGGTTGAGTCGACACCAAAACCAGAGCCATCTACTGCTGCTGCTGCTGCTGCAGTTGAAGAGCCATTGCCAGCTTGTGCTGAAGAAGAGAAGCCCCAGCCGAAAGCAGAGGAAGAGAAGGCAGCTGTTGCTGAGAAGGTAGAAGAAGTTACTGTTGTGGAAGCTAAGAAGGAGGCAGAGGATGCACAGCCTGTGGAAGTAGTTAAGGAGGCTGTTGTAAATTAAGTGATTACATAAGGTGGTTTGATATCTTGGAACCGTTTTCATTTCTTTGTTTTCTCTTTTTGTGGAGAGGGGTTTTGGGATATTTGGTTGTGTTCTTTTGATTTGATTGATTGATGGATGATGATGCCACATTTTGATGGAAAGGTAAATGGAGGAGTTTGCTTGTGTTGGGATTGAAGCTTGTACAAATGTGTGTCATGTCTAGTATCCAATTATTAAAGTGTTGATATTGGAGTTATGTGACGTTTAGAATGCAGCGATCGTTCAATCACAGAATGTTCCGATATCATGTGTTGAGTCTGTTGAGAACCACTTGATTATATCTCGTATCTGTAGACCAAAATCGTATTGTGAGTGTCGTATTAAGATGTGATCAGGATAATGTTTGGTCAGTGTTCGCGCATGGACTTAAATGTGTCACATATAATCATTTATATGGGATTTCCATCTTCTGCTGCTTGCTTGAAGAAGCCATGCACAACTTCACCCCACCCATTTGTTGTTTACAGTAGTTAGTTAGCTTTGTTTTGTTGTTAGCCTCACTGTAAGTAGCAATAGGGTTCTAAACCATAGCCTATATAAGCTCAACCTTGTGCAAATTCACAACTTAAAGAAAACAGCAAGTTTTCATCCAAACCCTTTTCTTAGTTTCTGTTGAAAATACTGTTGTACAAAATATAAGCATTCAATGACTTGGAACTTGCCTCCTTTCTTTTCTCCGTAACTGTGTTACAGTGGGTGGAGAAGGATTTGGAGTCCATACTTGGGACAGATTGTGAGCATGTGAACTGGTGCATGGACATAAGAAGGTGACAAACTGAATCTGTATCGTCGGAGAATCATCGAGAGAGCGATCTTGATCTCTGCTGCTGCAAAGTTCAACCCCACACAAGTCCTTGGCCCAGACCCAAATGGTAAGAATGCTTTGGCCAAACCATGATCAGCAGCAAACCTCTCTGGCTTGAAATGATGACAGTCTTCTCCCCACAGCAAAGGGTTATGGTGAATTGCTAAGATGGGTAGACTCAGTGCCATGTTTGCAGGAAGGATGTAGTTCCCCAGCTTGGTCTCCCTCTCAACTTCCCTTGTGAGGTTGAAAACTGGTGGATATAGCCTCAATGATTCATTCACAACCATTGCCATCTGCATAAAAAAAAAGTAGAACAAACAATGTTCGAACTGTTTGTTAGTAAATGGTATAAGATACATAATTCAAGAACCATGGCTTACTTACCTGCTTCAATCTAGAGACACCATCAAGTGTGATTGGATTGTGTTGGTCAAGCAATTCTATAACCTCTTTTCTAGCCTTGTCCTGCCAGTCTGTGTGGATTGCTAGGAGGAAAACTGTCCATGTGAGGGAGCTTGTGATGGTTTCATGGCCACCAACATAGAATGCCTTGCACTCATCAACAACGTCGTCGATTGTTATCTTCCTAGACAAGTCACTGTCATGAAAAGCATTGAGAAGGGAGCCAAGGAAGTCGTCATCACTTCCATTGTAATAACCATCTCTTCCTTCCCTCTTCCTTATCAGCTCTATGATTGCTTCCTTAATTGCTTGCTCCAGTTTGTCTGATTCGATATCATCACTTGTTCTCCAAAGCTTACTGTTGAAACCAAACAGGATCAAAAGGATCAAACTAACAAAGAGCATAGAAAAAGGAACAGATTACCAAAAGAATGATATTGATTATTGAGGCCTATATGTACTTACTTTAACCCTGGAATGCTGCTGACTTTGAAGTTGTTTCTGTTGACTATGAGACCAAGCTTCGTCAACATATCAAAAACATTCTTGCCTTCCACATAACTACTCCCAAATGCTGTCCTGGAGATCACTTCTGATGTCAACAGCTTGAATTCCTGAAATGCATCAATCTCTTTCACATCTCTCCATCTCTGAAGCATGACCTCCACACTATCAATCATTGCAGGAGTCATAGCCTGAAAAACAAAACAAACCAAGAAAAGGGAAAAGAACCCATATCAAATTTATTGCCTGCTGCTACATAGCAGGTGTTTGGTTTATCTAGTCAGCTTCCACAGAGAGAGACCTTCAACGACCCGCCATGGAAAGCTTGGTTTGCAAGTTTCCTCATCTTGACCCACTTCTCTCCCTGTGAAGAGAATAGGCTATCCCCAAGAAACTTCTTAGCATAGCTTTGGATGAACTTCTTGGGATATGCTCCTTCTCTATTGCTCAGCACCTCTTTCACTAGCTCAGGATCAGTAATCACCAGCTGTGGCCTTGTTCCATACCAATTCAGAAAGTTCATCCCTTAATTAAATCATCAACAGATAAGAGAAAAAGCATGTGAGAGTTGACCTTTCTGAACACAACAAGAAGAAGAAAGAATTAAACCTCAAAAAGATTGAAGCTTTACCATGAATCTTGGTCCATGAATAGACATGAGGCATGATTCTGGGGAACAGCTGATGATGGGAAAGTAGCTCCATCGAAGTGGCAAGAGCTTCATTTCTCATGTGATTGATCTCTTTGGTGTTCCCATGGAGGAATCTGTAAGGAGGGCCGTTGACTCCTTGGCGACCCATGGAAGACTGAATCATGATGGGTTTCAGCCATGCTCTATTCAAGAAGCTGATGAGGCTCACAAGGGAAAGAAGAAGAGAACAAGGCAAGCAAAAGAAGAGGAAAAGGATGATTAATAATTCCATTTTTGTTTTGCAGAGGTTCCTCTGATCTTCTTCTGACCAAATCTGAACACTTGTTGAAGTGGCATTTTATTGGATGATGTAAGAGGTAATAAATGAATAGAGAACAAAACAAGTTGTGATTTTTATATGTCCAAGTCCAAGAATCTTAGCCTGATGGATACCTTAATTTTGTTTGCTGGTCTAGTACGATGTTGTAGTTTAGTTGCATTGTCACAGTTCAAAACTAGAAACAACACGAACTCTTATGGCTGGGTGTTGATGTGGCGGTGTTCAACATACACAGAAATCAAGAGTTTGAGGAATGAGAACAGAAATGTAGTAATTATTGCAGGATGCAAGAGGTAATAAATGAATAAAGAATAAAATAAGTTGTGATTAGTTTTATGTCCAAGAATCTTAGCCTGATGAATTATCTTAATTTTGTTTGTATGTACAGTAAGAGGTTGTAGTTTTTGTTTAGTTACATTGTCACAATCCATAACTTATGGTGGAGAAGTGAATGGATAATTCGTGGTTTGATATTGATCCATCTACAAATAATTCTAACCGTTGTGCATGAATTATGTGTTAGTGAATCTCCTACCTGTACTTATTTGAGTGGTTGGCTGGATTGCCAGTCATCCGAATGATTCAAGATCCACTTTACATTACAAAGAGTTGTTTCTTTTTCATACCATCAATTTTCTAATTTGTCCCACTCGCAAACTATTGAATTCTAAAACCATAAAACAAAGATTATTGGACTATTACTATTGGTTACTATGTTGGCTAATGTACATTAGATATTGGCATTCAAATTACAAACGATTAATTGTATCAAAGTCATAATAAGCATTATTTCTCTCTAATAATTGGTTGATGGATTATTGAAATAATTGAGGTGTCATGAACTCTATGGATATGTGGTTAGTAACTTTCTTTTCCCTCTCAACGCCAATTGAAAAGTTTGTATGAGTAATAGAAAACTTTGCATGTCACAACTACGAGAAAGATCAGTGGAAGGATAAGTGCTTTTTAATTGTTGTAAACCTTCTAATTTGAGAGAAATTTATCGTAAATATTGCAATCCGTATAATGATTAGTTGAAGAATTGATTTTATGAGTTAACCCACAACCCAACCGCACTCATCCGTCACCCAACAAATTCAACCTAAAACATGTGGGCGAATGACGGGTCACAATTATACGAACTCGTAATTAAGCGGGTAAGTAATTAGAAGTAGCCATCTAACAAAAGTACATACAAATGGTATAACATTAATGAATTGGATATGTTTGTGTTAATTGTCTTAGTCGCTTTACAATTATCATAGGGTGAAAAAGTCATTCTCTTTCAGGTTTCATCCATCATCATATTCATAAGTTTTATCTAAATTTATTGTTCATACGTTGTTGTCTAGTTAATGAGCTTTATTTTTTGGGCTTCTGAAATAACTTTCTCACGACTTCAGAAAAAAAAAATTCACTGGGTCGGTCAGCATCAGATATGGTATGGGCTGAATGAATCTGACAAACTTTGGCCTCGAAATGAAACAGGCAAAAAGAAGCCCAAGGCATATAGCTGTCGGCCCAAAACTCTTTGCACTTATAAGTCTATAAAAGGATCCATTAGTCTTCGAACCCACCCAAATTCATTCGTGTGAAGCCACCCATTAAGCTTTGGTTGGTCTTTGATGAAAGATTGTGGGCCACAGAATAGGTTAAACTCAATAAAGGCTTCAAGTAAATCAACCTCTCTCTCAATTAGGGATGACAACAACCTATGTCACTTTTAACAAAAGACGAATAAAAGTTTGATTTAGTGATAATACCGCTAGTCTTGAATCTGACGTCTCATATTTGAATCTCTTAATTAAATAGTACCTAACCAAAAAAAGAAGAATGATATAACCCTTGTAAAAAAAAATACATTAATAAGTAATAGTATTTAATATAAAAGAATGATCCATCTTGATGTTTTTTCTTAATTTCATTCACATTTTATATTACAAATCATTTTTAGTCATTTTATATAAACTCTGACTCTGATATTCAAAAGCACTTCTGACTAATAGTTTATCAGTCAACACTCAATTGTTTATTTGAAAAATACTTCTCTAAAAGCTACCGCTAGAAGCCCACAATGATTTGGTCTATTGGAAATAGTAATATCTTTTAGTTTTAACCTCGAGCTCCAACGTTGGAATCCTTTCAATCAAAATCATGAATATGTTAAATTATTTTAAAATCGAAAACCATAATCTTTAAACTTCTTATCAGTTTGGTTTCAGTTCAAACCTAAAACAAAAACAGGCGACACTACTTCAAAGCATACATCTATGACTACCACGACATCGGGTAAACAATATAAGTGTTGGGGGTGTTACTAAAATACTCCGCGTACAGACTAAGTAGTAGGGCGCACAATCGGCGATGCCCAACGCTCGATACCCGCTACAGGTATATAAGGGCTTGAAGCCCTCCAAAGGAAGGGACTTCGCCTCTCTCCTCACTTTCTACTTTCCACTATCTCTCTACACCTTATCTCTTTACCGTATTCTCTCAACTCTCTCCTGAAACTTAAACTAACTTGATCGTCGGAGCTTACTCCGGGGGGCATCCCCGGCTCTTTCACAGGTCTTTTCCCTCCCGACGAGATCAGACGAACGGATCGTGAGTTAACCCCACACCAACAAATATCATTGTTCATACCGGAGCTAGATGGTACAAACAATAAGTTTGAACCTGTTATCTATAAGTTTAAAATTCTGCGATTAAATCACTGGACCAACTCATATTCAAAGTATATGCGATTACAATAAACAATCTATCGATCACAACCCATTACTTAAAATAATCATTGGAGTGTAAAACGAAGCATTCTTCTCTTCTTATCAAATATTATTGGAACCAAATCCAAACTCAGGAATTACAGAGTATTGATATCTAAAGCTTTCGTCTCATCTTGTCATCGTAAAGCATAGAAACATATATTATTGATGCCGCTTCGGTAACCGTTACGTGAGTGCTTTCCCTTCTCCACTCGATCCCTCGTACTCGTAGCAAGTGTCTCAAGCTCTCAGCATCTAGTGCCAAATCTATTCCACTACTTCCTCACATAGTTCTTATCGACGACCACTGGCCATGGGCCAAGGCAAAGAGTTATAAAACTCTGTCTCACTTATATTAAACCAACGGGTCTCAATAACTCGAATTATTCGGTAAAGTTTATGTATATATTTTTTTACCACTTTCTTACACGCTCCTTCTAATGAAAACCAACTAATATGCTAGCAGAAGTTTCTACAATCACGCCATACTGTGTGCTTTAAGGCAACGGTTGATATCAGAGGTCGTGGATACTTAATTTGTACACGTGACTTCAATAGCAAACCAGCTCTAATACGATATCATAAGCCAACTTATCCCAATAACTCGCGACCTGTTGGGAGATTTCGATATATAGATCAGGGCTAGCTAACGCACGTAAGGCATATGCTAATCTTACCGTATGCATGTCGTCTTTTGCTATTTACACCATGAATTAGCCGGAGTTTCGCGGCATGGTACTATATACTCATAACCTCTAATGGACGAATTCCAGCTAGTTCGTTGCTAATTCCCTAACCCTAATCATAAGATTCACCTAATTTAAAAATATCAACCGACAATTCATATTCGTCGAAATTATATTAAAGTGTATCTAATGAGTGTGATTGAAATATATATATATATATATATAATGGTGGTGTCTTCGGTGCACTCACTTTTTTGGGTGCATTCAGTGCACTCACTTCATAACTGTCCTTTAAACACGCGATTTATGTCAAAATGATGTCATTCATCACTTATGATATGATGAACAATAACACACATGAATTTGCACAAAAACCATTGAAGATTTACTTTAATTTGAAGGATTTAGAGTTTAGAGATTTAGGGTTAGGGTTAGGGTTTACAATTTGGGGTTTAGGGATAGAACTCAAAATTGGAGGTCTAGGGTTTAGGATAATCCACTAATTAGTTGTTATCATCTGTTATATCATCACATTACATTAATTCTACAAATTAAAATTCAAAATCCGACACCTTAAGACTAGTTTTTGAGTTGGGTGCATTGAGCGCACTCATTTTTGTGAGTGCACCGAAATAGTCAATATATATATGTATGCTACTTCATAGCTAGCTTTTTCATTCAAACCGATTCATACTTTGAGAAGAAATGGCTAAGAACAATGGCGGCCTCTATTACTACAACCGCGCTTGCAGCACGCAACATTTTATATTAGAAATAATTTTTAGTCATTTTATATAAACTCCGACTCTGATATTCAAAAGCACTTTTGACTAATAGTTTATCAGTCAACACTAACTGCTTATTTAAAAAATACTTCTCTAAAGGCACACGTTACGTGAGTGCTTTCCCTTCTCGACCGACACCTCCCTCGTTTTTTCCACTCGATCACTTGTAGCAAGCGTCTCACGCTCGCAGCATCTAGCGCGAAATCTATTCCACTACTTCCTCACACTGTTCGTATCGACGACCAATGACCATGGCAAGGAATTATAATATTGTGCCTCACTAATATTAAACCAACAGGTCTCGATAACTTAAATTGTACCGAAAAGTTCATGTTATCAGCTCATGTGTTTGAAGTTTTCACAGTCCGATGTATAGTGTGTTTTAAGGCGACGGTTAATATTAAAAGTCTTGAAGACTTGTATGTGTAATCTCAGTGACAAGTCAGTTCTGATAACATGTCATAAACCAACTAAACCTAGTAACGCAAGTTTTTTTTATGAATGATGAAAATATTACAAGAAACTAACCAATCCATGAAAGTACAAAGGTAAAAAAAAAGTCAGCAGCTCGACCAGTAGTAGAGCAAGCAAGCAATGAAAAAAAAAAAAACAAAACAAAATTAAGCAATAAAAAAAACAACCAACTCGAGAATTAAAAGAAGAAAGAACGTGAGGGTCAATGAGGTGCTTCGTCCCGATCTCCATCCACTAGTGGAAGCGTCTATCTGAGATGCGACTAAAAGCTCGTAACCATCGTCCAACCATAAGAACAATCTTTTGTCCAATCTCTTTTGGGGAGGCCTCCACATCCCCTGAAAATCCTATTGTTTCTCTCCAACCAGATGTACCAACACACTGCATGGGGCAATAACTTGATGGAGTCTCTGAACCATGGGTCACACCACAAGCCTCGCCAAGCAATGAGGGATTGGCGAATGAAAGGAAGGTAAGGACCATTGAAGATCAAGCTAACGTAGGTAAGGCGTATGCTAACATTATCGTACGTCCGTCGTGTATCGCTATTCAGACAATGAAACTAACAAGAGTTTTGGACATGGTACTATATACTCATAATCTCTAATGAGTGCATTCCAGTTCTTCCTACCTCTCTAATTTAAAACATAAGAATCATTTAATTTAAAAATAATTATCGACAATTCTGATTGGTAGCTAGTAAATGCATACTTCGAGAAGGAGGAGAGAAAAAAAAAACTATATATATGCTACTTCATAGCTAGTTTTTTTCATTCAACCGATTCATACATCATCGAGAGAAAGAAATGGCTAATGGCGATCCCACTTCTCATCATCACTATAACGACCTCCGCTGCTGCTGTTCAAAGCTATGATCAAATGTGCACGGAAAGTAGCAGCGGCGGCGGTACTAATGCGACGACGACCGGTGGCGTCTATTACTACAACCGCGCTTGCAGCACGCAGTACTTCCCCGGGAACTCAACGGAGCTGCAGGGTTACGTGCTGGACAACATCAAGACCTCGTTCTACAATGCCCAGCAGCAGTCCCGCCGTTTCTGCGACGGCGGCCGTGGATACGGCGCCAGGGACCGTCACGTGACGGAAGACCTTGTCACGGTCGTCAGCTACGCGTCGTGCGGCGAGGGCTACGACCTCCGGGTGTGCGCCGAGTGCCTGGAAGGCGCGAGCCGGCTGATCAGCAACCGCTGCGACGGCGCGTCGGGGGTTCGCGCCTGGTCGGAGATCTGTTGCGCTCGGTACGAGCAGGATTACAAGTTCTGTAGTACAAGTTGAAATGGTGGATGTTTGCATGCGATGTTTTGCTTTTATGATTCAATAACATATATATGTTTTACAATATATAAACACTCCTTTTTTTTTTTTTAAGAAAGTCAACTTATATGGAATTGAAGTTTGCACAAAATATGAATCAGATGCGTGCTCTTAATTTTCGGTATCAATTAACTAACTATTGTATCTAATTTAATCATTTTCCAATCCCAAAACACGATAGTTTCCGGGATCCACCCTCTCTCCACAATATTGAGTCGTTACCAAACAAAGTTGAAATCAGATACACAACAACCACGAGTTAAGACTTGAACACTTGAACTTTATTGTTCTTTTCTCCGTTAATATAATTATCACCCTTATAAAAAACAACCACAAGTGAAGACACACAAAAAAAAAACAACTAGTAACCGAGAAAAAAAACTATTTTCTTTCTTATGCATAATTTTGATATATTAAATTCAAGTGAATGGCAAGAGACACAAAGTTAGATGCTTAGAGCAACCCAACTTCCATCACAATGTCATATAACATTAACATAATTTCATATGAGAAGATGCTATCGTATCTATCTTTGGCGGGTGTGACATACGAATGAAGAAGGGATACGATTTTTCAAAAATTTAAGGTGGAAACTTGGGTGTTATTAGGGAGTAGGGAGAGCGATCATGTGAGCTACTAAATCTAATTGGAAAGTGAGTTGGATCTACGTGTGGTTTGGTCCGATAAACTGCGTTATGAATCAGATTTAGATCATGGAATCAAAATATCTCACAATACATATTATGGACCAGATCAGTCCATTCTCGACAGCCTACAATCCGAACCAAACTATACAGTAACGATTGGATCACGATTTTTTCTAAAGATCTGATACTCTATTTTCACATCCCTAATTTCAACAAACAACACTGTCGATAACCACCCAAAACTTAAAATAATCATTGGAGTGGAAAACAAAGCATTCTCACGCTCTCAAACAACATTGTCATCGTAAAGTATAGAAACGTATGAATTATTGATGCCGCATTGGCAAACGTTACGTGAGTGCTTTCCCTTCTCGATTACCCCCTCGTTTTTTCCCCACTCGATCCCTTGTAGCAAGCAAGCGCCTCACGCTCTCAGCATCTAGCGCCAAACCTATTATTCCACTACTACTCACACGGTTCTTATCGACGACAAAATGGCCATGGAAAAAGAGTTATAATAGTGTGTTTCACTATTATTAAACCAACTAATTTTAATAACTCAGAATAAATTGTGTTCAGCTTCGTTACAATCCTCTTCAAATAAATTCAACTCACGTGCTTAAAGTTTTCAGAGTCCCGACCATACTGTGTGGTTTTAGACGATTGTTATTGTTGGAGGTCTCCTGAGAACTAGTACACGTGATCTCAGAAACAAACCAACTCTGATACTACATCATAAACCAACTGGTTTCACTAATTCAAGTTGTTGGGAGCTATCCATATATATGGATCGGGCTAGCCAACGTAGTACGACGTATGCTAAACTTACAGTACGCCCGTCGTGCTTTTTGCAATGTAGACCAGGAACTAATCGGAGTTTCAGATATGATACTATACTCCTAATTTCTAATGGGTGAAACTAGGGGTGGCTATTTGGACCGGGACCGGATTAAAAACCGGAAACCGGACCGTATAACCCAGACCGAGACCGGACCGGGATCGTATAGTAAACAATCCAATCCAATCTTTGGGCTTAGATTTGAGGTAAAAAAAACCGGATAAAGACCGGATAAGAGAGCTCAACACCCAAAACTTAAGTGTAATTTGCATAAACGGTCACAAACCTTTGCACTTAGTACAAAACTTAACCAACTCCTCATCCTTTAAAGCCTTAGGCCACTCAAATCCCACAATCTCAATGTAAAATCAAGACCGAATTGGGACCGGACAAGATCAAAACCGGACCGGATCAAGACTGGACTGTATCCAATCCAATCTTCGGTCCTTATATTTTCAAAAATACCGGACTGGACCGGATCAATTTGGACCAATTTAACCAGACCGGACCGTATAGCCACCCTAGGTGAAACCCAGTTCGTACTCTTAGAAATATATTAAAGTGTAACTAATAAGTTTGAATGCAAAAAAAAAAAAAAAAAAAAACTATATATATGCCACTTCATAGCTAGCTTTTTCATTCAAACCGATCCATGCTTTGAGAAAGAAATGGCTAAGAACAATCGCTTGGTGATGATGGTCCGACTTCTCATCATCATCATCACGATAACGGCCTCCGTCGCTGATTCTGCTGTCGCTCAAAGCTACGATCCAATGTGCACGGAAAGTAGTAGCAGCAGCAGCAGCGGCGGCGGTAGTGCGACTTCCACCACCAATGGCGTCTACTACTACTACAACCGCGCCTGCAGCACGGAATACTTTCCTCCGAATGCAACGGAGCTGCAGGGTTACATACTGGACAGCCTCCGATCCGGGTTCTACAATAACATGTTGAATACTGCCGGCCAGCCCCGGAGTTTCTGCGATCGCGGCCGTAAGTATGGCTCCGATGGTGATCGTCCCATCATGGATTATAAAGTCGTCAAGATCTTCGGCTACGCGTCGTGCGGCGAGGGCTACGACCCCCAGCAGTGCGTCGATTGTTTGGATGGCGCGAGCCAGGTGATACGCAACCACTGCGACGGCTCTGCCGGGGTTCGTGCCTGGTCGGAGATCTGTTGCGCTCGCTACGAGCAGGATTACGACTTCTGTTGAAATGGTGGGACAAATATTGGATGTTTGCTGAACCGATGCGCGCGCGGCTTGATTGGTTTACTTTATTGCGATCGAGTTTTTGCTGTTTTGAGTTGTTTCTGGTACGACGATCGACTTCCTTTTGTTCTCGTTGTTAAGCGTGACGCTTGTTTGTACGCCTCCCCTTTTAATAAACATCTTTAGCGTTGAGAGAATGCAACCAAAGGAGTCGATTGGGAATGCACGTGAACGAATCGTCCAAGTTGTTCACCACTGCCTGTTTGTAATAATCAATGTAGTAAAAAATCGCGCTTTAAACTTCAAGATCACCAAAAATCACCATTTCCCAATTTCAGACAATTCTTCATCGATCAATGACCTCCATTTACAAAAACCCATTACTGGAGAATACTTACTTGGTAGCCGGTGTTGGGATGAATAGTTTTGCAAAGCTATAAATGAAATTTGTTTGTACCATCTAGCTCCGGTATGAACAATGATTTGTTGGTGTGAGGTTGACTCACGATCCGTTCGTCTGATCTCGTCGGGAGGGAAGGAACCTGTGAAAGAGCCGGGGATGGCCCCCGGATTAAGCTCCGACGATCAAGTTAGTTTAAGTTTCAGGAGAGAGTTGAGAGAATAAGATAAAGAGATAAGGTGTAGAGAGATAGTAGAAAGTAGAAAGTGGGGAGAGAGGAGAAGTCCCTCTTTCCTTGGAGGGTTTCATACCTTTATATACTCGTAGCGGTTTTCGAGCGTCATACGTTGTCGATTGGACACGCTATTACTTAGTCTGTGCGTGGAGTATCTTAGTAACACCCCCAACAATTGCCCCCCAAGCTGGTGGTGAGTTTTAACTCATCACTAGCTTATTATTTATTTATTTTTTAAATCTTCGTAGGTAATTTTGGCTGGTGCCCTATGTACCCCCAGTTGCCTCCCAGCTGGTGGCGCATTTAGCTGACGCGGTGCTAGCTTCCTGCGTCATGCCCCCCAGTTGGTGTATTTCATTAAACCGTTGAGCGCTCTTCTATTGGAATCTCCAAGGCGTTGAGCAATTGCTTGTTGAAAATTTTCCAAGGTATTGAGCACTCTCTTATTGGAGTTCTTCACACACACACACAAGTGTGCCCTCTTTCATTGGTGCGCTTGTGATAGCCGCACGATTACGTTACGGGGTTACCGCGCACGTTTAGTGCCCATTTTTTTGGAGATAGAGGTAATTGAACACTCTCATATTGTAGATTCACTGATGCTCTTATTGAAGTATTATTTGTGTGCTTCGTTGAGACTTATTTGTAGCTTCACCGATGCTCTTATTGAAGTCTTATTTGTGTGCTTCGTTGAGACTTATTTGTAGCTTCACCGAGGCGTTGTGCGCTCTCCTCGTCGGGGTTTATGTACCCTTAGTTTGGAGTCTTCAAGGCGTCGAGCGCTTGGTGAGGCATGACATTGACTAGTCGAGGCATGGGCCGTGATTATATGTCGCTTGGTGAGTTTCTCATCTCCCACGTTGTTGTGTACGTCTTGTCCCCCATTAGCGCCATTAACGCTCAGGAAAGTAAAATATTTCAATATTTAATAAAGATAGAAAGATGGAGTACTTAGCTTTGAACTGAAGATGTAGGAATAGGAATTGCTTCCCTTAGGAGCACGCGTATTCCTTGTAGTACAGTGGCTCGCATGTTTGTTCATAGGGATGCAAATGAGCCGAGCGGCTCGACGTTCGACTCGAGAAAAGCTCGTTCGAACTTGGCTCGTTAATAAACGAGCCGAACACGAGCTAACTTTTGTTTAGCTCGTGAAGCTCGCGAGCTAGCTCGACTCGGTGGCTTGTTGAGCTAAACTCGTGAGCTAGCTCCTTTAGAGCTCATAATATGTCTTAACATGTTGCTAGAGAGCCAACTCGATTACCAACTTATATACGAATCAATCTATATCTTATGATTTTAATTCATATGGTTGTTAAATTATATATATCTCACCATATATAAAGTTTAACACGTTGAGTATGTGATCAAATATATCTTATTTTATACTTTAAAAAGAAATTATGCATCATAGATTGCTTCGATACTATGAAATAACATGATTTGGAGTAGTTAAAATTTATTACCTAAATGATATATGATACCAACAAAGTATAATATGAGATTAGCTAACAAAATAAATCATATGTATCATGATATACAAAATGAAGTACCAAATAAAAGTCAAGATTTTAATAAACAAGCTAGCTCGAGCTCGACTCGGCTCGGCTCGTTAATAAACGAGCTGAGCTCGAAATCGACTCGTTTATTAACGAGCTGAGCTCAAGCTGGAGTAAAACTCGACTCGGCTCGGCTCGGCTCATTTGCAACCCTAATGTTCATGAACTCAGCTCCTGAGTTCGAATCACCGCGCAAGCATAATTTTTTGATGGAAGCGTGGAGTTGTAGAAGGATGGACAAGGAGCGGGCCAGCTGCGAGTTGGAGTTGGGTCTATCCGCGTTCGAGATGAGCTAGGTCGTGGTGGGCCTGAGGCGGGCTCAACGTGAGGCTTGTTGAAGCGGAGAGTGACGGACATGGTGTTGGACGCGAGTCTGTGGTGGGCTGGCACGCGGAATGAGGAGCGAGCGCAGAGTTGGAGGCGGACTTGACCTCGCGGGCCGGGAGATGTGAGTGATTAGCTTTGACTTGAAGAGGCGGCGACAAGATTTGTTGACATAGGGCTGCCGCGTGAATGTTCACAACTCGAGTTGTAGCCTGCTGGTCAGTTTGCTTGTCTCGCGGAAGAATGGCGCAGGTTCGATTATTGGCGGCGCCAATATTAATTTTGATGAGCTCAGTGCATGTTGGGCTCTGGAAGTGATGAGATGCGGGCCGCGCATTGGAAGCAAGCCTAACATCCGCGAGACTGTTGTTGGGGCGGAAGTGGGGCAAAGCCCGGTGCGAGGCGCGGACGCGATGTTGGCCGCGAGTGTGGTGGTGCCACGGGTCTGGGCGTCGGCCTGGTCTGGGCTGCGCCGCGAGTGGTGGGTTGCCCATCTTGGGTGAGTAAGCCGCGAGTTGGAGAAGCAGAGCGAGGAGATATTAAAATCAGGGTTCCGCGCCCATTTGATTAACAGTTCTCATGTACTCCACTGGTTCCCTTTGCTTGCACGCGAGTGACTGAACCCTGGTTCGAATCCCTTCTCCCGCGCATGATTTTTGTGATGCTTTGCACTCTACAGCTTCACTGGGCGGGCCGGGTGCATCTTGTGGGCCGCGAGTTGCAGCCGCACAAGTGGGCCGCGAGTTGGTGGTGCACAGAATGGGGCGTGGGTCCGGTCTAGGCAGCGAGTCGGAGTAGGCTTTGATGCGGGACACGTCATTAGCGGGTCGTGTGACGCGAGTGATCGGGCAGGCCCAATCAGCTTCGGAGCGATTATTGTATTCCAATTAACCGATTAACCAAACTGAATAAACTTTAGTTTGGTTAATTTGGTTATTGTATTAGATTGGACGGTTTGGTTATAATATTGTATTCTACAGCTGGTTCGAATCCCTTCTCCTGCGCATGATTTTTGTGATGCTTGCACTCTACAGCTTCACTGGGCGGGCCGGGTGCATCTTGTGGGCCGCAAGTTGCAGCCGCACAAGTGGGCCGCGAGTTGGTGGTGCACAGAACGGGGCATGGGTCCGGTCTAGGCCGCGAGTCGGAGTAGGCTTTGATGTAGGACACGTCATTAGTGGGTCGTGTGACGCGAGTGATCGGGCAGGTCAATCAGCTTCGGAGCGGTTATTGTATTCCAATTAACCGACTAACCAAACTAAATAAACTTTAGTTTGGTTAATTTGGTTATTGTATTAGTTTGGACGGTTTGGTTATAATATTGTATTTCATGGTTGATAGAATTTAAACTTTTTTAGTTTGGTTATTACCATGGTAACCATTTGAACACCCCTAAGAGAGAGTGTATTCAGAGAGATCATGTTTTCGCACAAAATCGCTGAGCACCTTAGATGGGTCGTTTTATCCTGGAGACGACCGGCTGATAGTCTGTCGTGCGCAACGAAGGTAGTGTCGCGAACGTCTTAAAGAGAAGGACCTAATCCACGACTCAACTCCAGATCCGTAATCCTGATTTTTTCTGTTCGGTTTCTAACACAAAGTCGTCAGAATCTTCGGCTACGCGTCGTGCAGCGAGGGCTACGACGTCCAGTAGTGCGTCGCTTACTTGGAAGGCGCGAGCCAGGTGATAAGCAGCCGCTGCGGAGATCTGTTGTGCTCGGTACGAGCAGGATTACCACTTCTGTATTACTTGAAATGGTGGAACAAATATTGGATGATTGCATGCGATCGTGTTATGCTGTTTTTGCTTTTTGAGTAGTTTCCGATACGAGTCTGACTTCTTTTTGTGTTTCATTGTTATTGCTTGGCGAGCGTGGCACTTTTGTATTGCTGGATCAAGATACTGGGCCTGAACTTGGGGTTTGGTTTGGGCCTCGCTTTAGTGTGTCAATAAAGAGCCCAGTTAGTTTATGCAAAGGCTGAACGTGTGTTAGTTGCTTGTTAGAGTTGTGCGTAGTTGCTAGCTTTAATGACGGTGATTGTTAAGCAGCTCCTTGTTTTCTGTTTTACAAGCCAAGCAATTAGGAGGATTAGTGGCTTATAATAGCAGTTGTTATCTGGGATCGTTTGGAAGTTGCGATTGGTTTGTTGAGATTGTTATTATGCATGTATTGTTTACAATTCATCATTTTTTTAGCAGAAACAATACATGGATTGTTTCTATGATGTGACAGAAACTATCACTCATTTTGAGTGATTGTTATATCTCAACTTTTAGTTGTGATTGTTGAGATAGTTGAGTTGAGATTGTTTTGTCCCAACTTTTAGCTGATGCGACTTACACAATCACACATACCAAACGTTGTATTCTACAATGCATCAAATTCCACAATATATGTATAATATTATACATGCATTCTCAACAATACATCTATTTAACAATCGCAACTTCCAAACGACCCCTTAGTTGCCTTGATGTATTTAAATCTATTATGTTTCCTTAATAAAATCACCAAGTTTTCTTTGCATTACTGTTTACATGTATGCCTCGCCTCTTAATAACATCTTTAGGGTTGAGAGAATCTGACCAAAGAATTCTTAACGATCAACTCTTGGTAAATGGCTCCGACACCATGGTGGCATATCAAGAAATTTATCTAAGATAGGTCCATCGTG